TGAAATTTTAAATTCAACAGAAAAAAAAAATATAGCAATTTCAAAAGACAATCCGCTATTAATATCAGCTGATTTGTTAGACAAGGTATATTTTATTATGCTTTTTTCAATAAAAAGATTTTAGGGTATACCCTAAACAATTTTTTGGACTTAAAGAAAATTTCTTAAATAAATTTATCATATAATTAAATATATTTTTATGATCCGTTAAGAGTTTTCATAAGAAAAATTTGGAACGCAAAAAATCCGAAATAAAAAAACAACTTTTTGAGATATCTTCTAATACTACTGCTCGACCAAATTTAAAAAGAAATTCATCCGAAGAAGATGAAAAAGTCATAAAAAGTATACAACTTTTAAAATATAATTCATTTTTAAAAAATATGAAGTTTTGATTTTTGAAACAAATATGTAATATTTTTAAACATAAATTATTTTAGAGCCAAAAGTTAGTTCTAATCCTTTGACCTTAAATACGCCGAATGACGTAAATTTACTTGCTCTGTCCACTATTGAAGTAATAAAAGTACCAGAGAAAGAAAAAGGTAATTAGTTATTTAATCTATTTATTTTATGTAAAATTAAATAAAAAAAGATTATTTATTAAACATAATTAATTATAATAATACGAGTTAAATTAATATAACTTCTGCAGAGGCGTGTCATTAAGGGGGTCCATGGACGTTTTAAACAAAAGTAATTATACGTGTTTAATTTCATATTCCAAAACCTTAAATAAACCTAAATAATAGTAAACTGTTCAACAAAGTCTTTTATTAATTTTATGAAAAATGTTTAAATATGGTTACACTTGCAGAAGTAATGCAAGATCAGAACACAAAATCTCTTGATCAGTATAATGCACCTTCATTTAAATCGCCCACATCATGGTATACTTCAGACACAATTAATGAGTACATTAAAATGATAGTAAAACGGTCAGAAGGTGAAGTTTATGCAGTTGTCACTGATTTTATTGTAGCGTATCTTCGAGGAGGTTATCCAGCTGTAAGAAGATGGATAAAAAAAGATATTCACACAATAAAATTACTTTTTGTGCCCATGAATGTATATGAGAGTCATTGGATATTGACAGTGGTTAATATACCTGAAAAGACTGTGACATCATATGATAGTCTTAAGTCGTATGAGGGTCCCTATCCAATGGTATTAAAAAATTTCTTAATTGAATGGGAGATGGACAAAAAAGGAAAAGCTTCTACATGGACATTACAAATAGGCGAGACATCTCGCCAAACCAATGGACATGATTGTGGGCCATTTACTGTTGAGCTGGCAGAAAAAATGTCTCGAGGAGATACAACACCAATAAATGCAAATTTTATGCCTTTTATAAGATTAAGACACAAAAATGAAATTATTGCTGGCGAGCTATTCAATTAATATTTTTATGAATGAAATTTTATTTTTGTATTTTATATCAATTTTCTTAATATTCACTATAAATTGAAATTTTTATTTGTATACCACCAAACATTTTTTTACTTTTTCTATGTTTAATTGTTGTTTTGTTATTTTATTTTAATCTTATTTTTCTTTGTAACATTTCATTTAAGAAATTCAAATTTAATATAAATTTATCTTAACTGAAATAATTTAATGTTCTTGTTATGTGAATATACAAATATTATAATATACAGTTATGGATACAATTAAGTTAAAAAGTCAGCCAATTATAATTTTTTAAATTAACAAGCGTATCTACTATCTTAACAACTTAATTTTAATTTTACTAAATGACGATTCATAAAGAATTTCATAACTTTTGTTTATTTTTTAAATACTATTTTAATTATAAAAAATTCTTTTCTGTATTTTTTATGAATGCGGTATATTGAATAGGGGTAACTAAACTTATTTGTTTATAATTCTCTAAACTGATAAACTATAAAATAAATTTAAAAATGAACTACAAGTTCAGAATATTTCCGTTGTTATTATATTTTTGCTACGGGTATTTTTGTTATCTAAACAGGCCCGTAGCCAGACCTAACTAGTTGTACGGGCACAAAGTAAAGTAAGACGGGCAGGCACGTATCCAGGGGGGGGCGAGGGGCCTTGATTGCTTTGAGACCTTTTTTTTTTTTGCTTGTCCACAATCAAAGCCGTAGAGAGAAAAGTTTGGGCCCGGGAGGGAAATAATTATGGGCCCCTATTAGTGGTGTTCCCAGAAGCTACGGTCACCCCCTTCCGCCAACCACCTCACATGATCGGATACATTTAAAATATTTATAATTTTTTTATTTTAAGAAACAAAGTAAAAATACAAATTTGAAAATAAGTTTAGTTTTTATATTAAATGACTTATATAATTGTGCGCAATTTTAAACACATAGACACTATCCACCACTGGCATACACTCATACACGCTCCAAGAGGTTTTTCGACATGTCGGAAGTAGTCGTCAAGGAACTTCGTGTCGAAACAATAACATTAACCATTATAGGGTCAAGCGGGGTAATTGTAAATAATCAGAGTAAACGTAAATGAATATTTCGACTAATAACTTTTGGTAGGTTTAATTGTGTATTGAAAAGTGCTGGTCCATGTGTGTGTTGCTATCAAATTAAACATAAATTTGAAATAAAATTATGTGAATTTATTTTAAAAAAATGCATTTACTATTACCCCAATTGTTTACAATTACCCCGCTTGACCCTACACTGCGATTGACAATTAACATATCATCCCGTTCATGAGATTCATTTTTTATAATATTAATAATTAAAAATGTAATTTTAATAAATTAAAACTATTAATAAATAATAATACTTACCTCTACGCTATAAATTGCGTATCCGCGGTTCACAATCGGCGATTAAATAAAGCTGTTGTCTATTCTAGCACTTCTTAGTAGTTATTATCTACACGGACGGCTACGCGATCTTTAATAATAGTTGTAACAATATTATCATTATGTTATGTTATGTTTCAATAATCATTGATGTAAATCGTGACAATCAAAGACAAAATACTGAGAACTGGAAGTCGCCTGTATTCACTGGGTAAAACCGTAAATACAGCAGATATTGACCCAAATTACACGATAACAAGTAATGTTACTCCAATAACTTTTTCTGAGAATTTAAATATGTATATACACATCTTATATTATCATTTAGTTAATATAACGGCTCCCATGCTACCAATATCACTAACAACACTGACCGACAGCACCGACTATATTACGCGAAACATTTTGTGTAATTTCAATACTAGAAATTTTTCTACACATCAGTTTTTTCAGATTTTTTTTTCTTGGACGGGTTAGACGAGCTCTGTACGGGCAAGGAGGTCGCTTGTACGGGCTTACTCGCCCGTACTAGCCCGTACATGGCTACGGGCCTGTATCTAAATGACCCAATGAAATCCAAATAATTTCTAGAAATCTCTGATAAAATGTAGATAAATACGTGTCGTCGAATCCTATCAAATTATATTCAATTTTGTTATTTATTTAAAATACCATTTATTTTATAGTAAATAAATATAGTATATTATAAAAAACTTAATACCAATATATTAGGCATTTTTTTTAAGTCGGGGGGTGTCCAGACATGGAGGACACCCCCCCCCCAAATACGCCACTGATGACGAGAGTGTGTAATAGGCAACCAGAATGATAACAAATCGAACAGTGTAGGATACCAAAGATTTTCTCCAAAAGACTCCTTATCAGGTTACCGCGTGGTGTGAAATCAAAAACTGGAGGACAATACAATGTACATAGGCCCTTTGAAAAATCCATATTCTCCCTTCGGAGAGTCCTTTAGGTGTCTCTTAGAAATCTGATGCTACTAGATAAGTTATATAAGCAAAATAAAATAACATTTTAAATAGGTCAGTTCGATATTTGCTTCAGGGTAACTAAAAAATTAAATCAGGACTAACCATATTAAATCTGAAATAAGTCGATAGACAAACGAGTAATTACTCAGTGTCATTTAACATAAATGACTTATATTTAATTTGTTGGCCAAAAGGAATGATTGTGTTTAAAATAAAAATATTCATGTACTTGAATAAAATGTAAATTAAACTGTATGGACATGGAAGTGTACAACAAACTTATATTCGCTGTATGGGTTAAGTAAATAGTTAAATTTACAATAAATAATTAATCGATGTAAGGTAAAATAACTGTGGTAAGCCAGAATGAACATTACACTATACCAAACAGTCAAGAGTAACATATGAGTTTAAGTAATGACGATGCCTAAATAGACATCAAACTAAATCGCTTATAAACTAGAAAAAAAATACTATAAAAATCATACACAGGTTTTTTAAAGAAAAAATATTAAGTAAAACCATATATGTCTTATACTGACAATGTCGACATTTTACAAGTGAGCTTAGAAAATCATATTTATACTAGTTATTTGAAAAAGTTCTAATAAACAAGATTATTTTTAATTTTAATATAGATAAGAATATTCCGCGCCAATAGAGCAGCTTGCAAAATACTTTTATACAAATGTAATGAATAACATAGTAAAATAAATAATAATAATGAATATTATTAATTTTACTATGATAAATGGATCGTTTTTGGTAAAATAAAGAAAAATTTCAAACTTATCTAATTAATATTACATGTGTCTATTGAAGGGACGGAGTAGAATACAAATAACTCATTATCACAATCATTGTTTGATAATAAAATATTGATAACGCTTTTCTCAAACTCTATGCATGTGCTACAAAACCGATTTGATGATTAAAATACAAATGTTTTGAATTTATAAAATTATGTCAAGATAGCTTTGGATACTGTAATTGATTATATATTAAAATATTTATAATCATGGACGTTGATTTATTAAGGCCTGGTATGATACCCATTGCACCAAATACAAAACTATGGTTTGAATTTCTTATTGATCCTTCTCTTCTTGAAGAGCATTTAAATAATCCCCAAGCAGGTAATAATGTTATTTGTCATTAATTTAATCATATAATGTTTTTTTTATTTCTTTAAATGTTTACAACTAATTATTTTGATTTATAGACCCGAATGCAACAGACCTTTTAATAAAATTTTTATATTCATCAATGGAAAGACCAAAAGATCTACCACCTATTGACATTGATGATTTAATGGATAATTCAAAAATTGAGTACAGAAAACGTAAAAAATACGAATGTTTAAAAATATTAGCTATGAGAATTGTTAGTTTTTGGGAATGGGATCTTAACATTTTTCAAACCAGGTAGTATACATGTTTTTATTAAAACATATAAGTGTGTAAAAGTATATTATTTTTTGTTTTTCAGAGTTCCAATAAGTTTACAAATCATTTTTGTTCAAGACTTGTTGGATTTAGTATCAAATGAACTTAATCTTATAAATTTTGAATCTCATATTTCTATTGAGGACTTATCACAATTAAGTGATCAACAATTATTTGCCATAGCATTTTTTCATCGTTGGACACTAACTGCTATAATAAATTATACAATTTCAAAAAAATCAAATTTTGCTTTAGGATCTATTCAGTATGAGTATAATTATAATTTAAATGTATTATTTAATAAATTAAAAATTTAGGGATGGAAATGAAGATGTACTACTCAAATTAGAAATGCAGAGCGAACTTAGTGAAAAAATGTTATTACGTTTAATTGGATTAAAGAGAAAATCATATATAATTCCAAATATGGAAACATTTATACCCCCTGATGAACTTAATCCATTGACCTGCAACTGGTCTAAAGGACTTATTATTTCCTCAGCTGAATTTCTCTCCCAAGTATATCAATTTGTTATTTACAAATTTAGAAAGTGTTAATTTTAAATTAAATTATTTAGATTATGTATGACTACTCTAAATACAAGTTTTTCAAAGAACAATATGAAGATGCCCATACATATTTTACCAAGTGCAGACAACTGTACCAAAATTTAAAACCAAGTTCATTTTATAAAATCAAAATAGAGGAGTTAAATGGATTTTGTGCTGCTTGTTCTCTAGAGGTTACAGAAAACACAAATTTATTTGTACAATTTTTACATTCAATTCAATCAAATTATCAAGTAAATATGTATATAAGAATTCTTTAACAAATTATTCAATTGATAAAATATTATTTTAGGATGTTTTAAAAATTTTAAACAACGATAATAAAACATTGGACATACCATTGATGTTTCGAGATTCCTTAGAACTAGATTTGGCATCTATACTCTCATTAGGAAAATTTACTGCTTCCAGGGATATGTTATTTCAAATTCAAACTTTAAATGCAATGCGAAGAGCTTTATTGACAACTGAGGAAGTAATGTTAATGCCTCCTGAAGACTATGTTGCTAAAATCAAAGCAAATTCCCATGGCCCTGAAATATTTTTTAAGGTAATTTTATAATAAAAAATAAATTTTTTATTAAAAAATTATTTAATTTTAGGAATTGAAAATGTATTCTTCAATTAAAGATGAAAATGTAAAAAAAAATTTTAAAATATTTATCTACAATATTTTGTTAAAATGTCCAAAAAATTTGATTAACGACATCATCAAAGAGGGAAGTAAAGTGAGCAAATTATTTGATGAAGATGAAATTCAACAGTTGTTAATATTTCCAGATGATACACCTTCATTTAAAGTGAATATGGCGAAGCGGTTTCAACGTATGAATTTAAAACATAATTTAGGTAACAATACTTCATACAAAAATTACTTTTTAATTGAAAAAATTATTGATAAATAGTCTCAAAATAAATTTACTTATCAAATTATTTTTTATATATTTGATTAATTCAAAAATTAGACTGAAAATTATCATATTGATTTATTTATCATCATAATAGTAACATTAAAATCATAAAAACAATGTACAGCACCAATTACCATAGTAGTTAAGATTTATTATTAAAAAATAGATCATAGTGAACTTCTAAAAAAATAAATATTGCTATCATTCCATAATAAAGTGATTTGTTATTGCTGAAAATAAAAATTAAATATAATGTAGTCATTTATTTTACTATTAAGTAGAACATTTGTCATTTGTGCTTATGTAGTTTTGCAAAATAGCGGGCTGCTAAATTAATTATTTTTTTTGGAACTCTCATGCGACATTTAGTGGCGATTGTTGATTTATATGTTGCATCATGATTACCGTATTATATGTTATATTTGTTGTATCATACTTTTACTAAATTCAATTTTTATAATACTTTTGTTTAGACAGTAGTTAAATATTATATTTTTAACTCATTCATTTTAACAGTTATGTATTCAAATTGTAATTAAATTTTTTATTTTAAATAATATTTAAAATATCAATTTCAAAACTTTTATGATATTTTTCAGGCATAAATAAGCAAAATATTTTGCTAAGAAATAAAATTTGCACCGAAATTGATCCAAATAATGTTCGCAATTTATTACAACAATTATACAAAATTGATCCTATGTATAATGTTATGGACCTAAATTTAGAAGTATTTTTCTATTATTCTTGAATATTAATTTCTTCTAATTAATTAGCTAAATAAGTTTCATTAATTTTTAAAAAATTTTAAATATAATATATAAAAATCTTTTAATATTATAATTATATCATAAATTAATTAATTATACTTTGTAAAGATAATTTTCATGAAGTTTATAAGAAAATACTTTAATGAAATTTCTCTTTTTAATCATAGAATAAAATGAAATAATATTTTTACTGTAATTATTTGAAATATATTAATAATAAATATTTTTTAGTGGCAAGTTCCTTTACCTTTGCTAAATCTTTTAATTTCATTACCAAATGGAGTACTGAAATTTGTACTTCTAACATTTTTGGCCAAAGCGGAAGAAATGACAAACTTGAATGTAAGATTTGTTAAATTATATTGTTTTTTATTTTATATGATAAAAATTTAATATTTTAGAATTTTAAAAAAGCACTAGTATTTTTAAAAGAAGCAGAAAATGATGTCAAAAACAGTAACAATGTTATATTTTCAAAATTAAGACAGTTAATATCTTGGGAAAGCCTTTATGTTGAGATGCTTCAATTTCAACATGAATTTAAAACTTATGGTATGTGACTTTAATTTTTTGTTATGACTGTATATTATTTTTACTAATTGAAATAATCATAATGTAATACATAAAACAATATAAAAGTTTACTAACTTCTTCACTTATTTCATTCTTTCTCAAATTAGAGTTTTATTCTTAAAAATTTTATACATTATATATGCCATTTCTTTGTGACTCATAATATATACCAATTTCATTAAATTTTAAATAATATATCTAGTAACAAAAACTATATTATTATCTTCTAAGCCTCTATCCCAACTATTTGAGATCTATTTTACTATGATTTGATAGGATTTTTACACTGGCTATTGACTTGATGCAATCTTATTTAGGGTAAAGTAAACAGTAAGTGCATAACAGTGTTAAAGACACAACCCCCTTACAACGCTCATTTATAACTTAAAAATAAAAATAATATTTTTTAAGAAAATTTTGAGTCACTAGTAACTATTATATAATTTATATTATTTTATTTATTTATAGTTATTGGAGATCTTATTGATCGTTGTAAGTTATGTCTTGAAACTGTTCAAGGAGATATGATACCTCGACAAGATATTGCTGAACAATGTGTATTAACTCTTTTGAATATTGGTGAATGGGAATACTTAACAACTAAACGTTTTAGTTGTTTTGATCTGCCATTAGCTATTGTTTATTCATGTATTGACGTTACTAAATTTAAAGGAAATAAAAAAAGTGCTAAAGAAATATGGGATTTAGGTAATAATTAAAAATCAATTTTTATGGAATATTTAAATAATTAACATAAGTTGGGATGTAAAAATAATTTTTGTACAAATTTTTATTCTAGTTTTACCAATATTTGACTATAGCTACAATAATCCAAATAAAAGAACATTAGATGGAGATTCTGCTTGTAATCAAAACAGAGTATTAAATCAAAATGACCTTATGAGATTATTTATGAGTTTAAGAGATCAAACTGCTATACAAATTGTACTATCACTTTTAATTAAAATACAAAATATTCTCAGAGATGAGTCATCTACTGAAATTATTATGCCATACCTTCATATTTGGCCTGCTATGCCCAAGTATAAATAAATTACTACATTTAAATAATTTTTCGTAATCTTCATTGAGTAATTAATTACTAAACGTTTTAGTGGAATGAGTTTTCCTTTGCGATGTATTACTGATTTTCTCGAAATTGTATTAAATGAAACATTAAAATTTCATCCAAATCATATAATATTATTAAAGTTAAAAGGAGATCTACAATATGGTAAATTTATTTTGTATTAAGATAAACATATGTTAAATTTTTTATTATTTATTTGGTTGTTTTTATAATGATATAGTCATGGGTCATTATAGTTCTGCTATGAAATGGTATATGGAAGCTATTGTAATTGTGAGTGACTACTTTGCTAGACCAATTTTAAAACCAATGATTGATGATTATGTGTATAAAAGAATGGTTAGATGTTGTATGCAAATGCAAAATTTTACTCAGGTGAAAAACCATTAGTTGATTTAATATTCTAGAGTACAGTTAAGCTAAGGTTTTAATTCATTTTTACAGGCTGCAATATTGTGTCTTTTTCAAGATGAAGTGGACTACACAACAGTGTTTAAGTGTGCTTCAGAAACCAACTCGTGTGATGCCTTAGATGAATACTATGAATATATATGGGATATAAGTCTGTTAGAATTTTTAATATATTGGCATACCAAACTTAATCATCAAGAACACAGACAAAAACTTGTAAGAAAATTTTTGTCAATAATAATTAACAAGATTTAATTTAAGTCTTATCAGTATATAAATATACATTAAAATTTTCTTTTGCAAGTATTTTATCAAAAATTACTTAATACTTGAATTAAAAGGTATGAGAACCCTGTACAGCTTAATGGAACAGAATTAAAACCTTGATACCAATTTTGAGGAGTTTCGTTTTTCTTCTAATATCAAGAGCATTTTTGATGAATAATTTGAAAATTTCAATTTAGTTAAAACCTTATTTAATGTTTGATCTTTATAAAATAACCTTAGACATTAATTAATTCACAGAAAATAATTTGTTGGCAGTAATTTATTCAATATTGAAGTATAAACATTATATACAATTTAAAATACATATATTTTATATATTACATTTTAATCTACCATTATCATTATCATTACATGTATATATATATATATATATATTTATATAGAGTGTTCAGTAAGTGTAGACATGGGTTTCTATTGTTCTCATTGTTTGTAACAACTGACCTGTTTCCTTACTCAACATTTTGTATATTAATGATACATAGATACATTTTATATACATAATATAATTTATATTTATATTTTTAAAGTTAAAAACAATTGGTGCATTAGAGTTAAATGCAAATAATAATGAGGAAATTAAAAGAGAAGCAGCCAATATAAGAAAATTAAAATTCCTAAGAGCATTGTCACAACAGTATATACATCCCTGAAATGACAAATTCGTAATTCTATTTGTTTACAATAGTGTTTATTACATTTATATAATTTTTTTAATTTTAAATATGTATCATCGTGTATATTTTGTATGAATAAACTTTCTTTATACAATACTTATCACATATGGTTTACAATTTAATTATACATTTTATCTAAACTATTTTTGTATAAAGTCTATATTAGTTTAATTGATTAACAATCCATATTTTACTTTTACTGATAGCAGCATATGTCTAATATAAAAATCTAATCAATTCAATAAAATCAAATCAAAGATATTAATAAATGTCCAAAGAAAACTTTGATTGATAAAAATTAAACTAAATTTTTTTTTATAAAACATGTCAAAAATATATAGTCAAGCTGGCTAGTAATATTTTATTACAACAATTTACGAATTTAATGAAACTTGCTCAAGAACTCTCATACATTAAAAAATATATTTTTAGATTTGCAAGTTTTATAGACTCAAATAAAAACATACTCATTAAATATTCACACAATATAGTCTTGTGTGTGCTTTATCTTTGAGGTTCAGTGACTAATATAAAAAAAAATTAAGAAATAATTAGTTTTTATATTTTTAAAAACAAATATCAAAATAGAAAAAAATTTTGAATGGTTAAGAATTTTTATAAAAATATAAAAAATAATTTCAATTAAATTTTTTTTATAATTCATTATTTTGAAACAATTAATGTATGGAAATTTAAGTAATGAAACATTTTTGATAAAAAAAAACATGTAATTCTAATTAATATTTTGCGTGTGCATATGATAATTTTGATTACTTATGTAAAAAATTAATTTAATTAATTTTAAAAAAATACCGTTATTATAATGTTATTCTGTTATTCTTTATATCACGGTCACAGTCAGTGCATAACAATAACATCTGGAGCTGATTTTGTTGATTCAACACTGTAAGGCCTTTGACCAGATGATTCAGATGAAAATTTATCCATTTCAATTACAGCTTCTGCTCTAAACTTGCTTGGTTTACTCAAATCGGATGAATTTTCTGAATTTTTTCTATACCCAAAGGTAGAAAATCCCAACGGTGGCTTATTTAACGGAGACTCCGAAGGTCTAATTCTATAATGACCCGAAGAAGTTTTTGGAACAAAAGCTGGAGTGTCAAACAAACTTTCTCTAGTTTGACATTCAATATCTTTAGTTTCGGTTGCTGAAGGATAGGAACTCATCAAACCGTCGTCTTCTTCGTCCTCGATGGAAGAATAATGACAAGATGGAGGATCGTGCTTCATTAACACTGGAATGATGTCACCAGATGGAACGTAACAATCTAAGCTAGATACATTATTTGCATGTTTGGATCGAATCAGATTGGTGCATTGACTACTATTTTCACTGTGCGAATAGTCGTGGCAATGTGGTTCATAATTATCCCCGGTGTGTTCATCAGCTTCACTGATACCTATTTGATCAACGTGTCCATCTCTTGAGTGACGCATGTGTTCCTTAAATACATTTATAATGTAATTGAGTTAAACATAAGATAATTGCAGTCAACGCAATAGTATTTTATCTTACTTTTATTATTCGATGATCGTGAACTAATTTCCTCACTATATTTGTCACAAAAGCTGAACACATTCCGCAAAGTATAAGAAAGAAAACCACTAGGATAATGATAATGTCGAAACCAGAAAACAGACGTATTAAGGTATCATCCTCTTCCTATAATGTTCGAATAAAAATGTTTTATACTTTATGCACATAAATATCTCACAATCTCTACATCAACTACTTGTATAAAATCCAACAAAATTACTAACCGGGCAACCGTCTTCATCCCAACGGAAACGACAGTTTTCTACATTGTTGCATCGTAGTTCTGCATCTATACAAGTTAAATCTTCACAATCATACTGATCTTCACCACAGTCTACAAAAGAATAAATATTTCCAAATTATTTTCTGTTTTAAATAAATTATACAATGCATTAAATATTCATGCCTTATAAATTTTCAAGTAATACTACACCACATTTTAATGTAAATGAATTAATCTTCAATTCAATCATTACAAATTTGCGGTAAATACAAGTGGCTCAAAGAAAAATTATAAATGCATCGAAAACCGAGTTCACAATAATAATGATACTGATCACAATTATTTGATTGCCAAGAAAAATATAATCACTTCTTAATTTTTGCACGCGGTACATACTCATACCTTCATCTTTATTCTTTGTGCGAAAAGCGGTGAACAGCGCTGAAAACATGGACTTCCGGCCTTCAGTTACAAAACGGACGTGTAATATGTTGCCGGACGACAATACCAATTCAGCTAACGATCCGCAGAACACTTTGAGTCGTGACGCCATGTCGGTACGGTTCGAAAAAATTTCTACCACATTCCAACTGCAATCGTTGGGTTTTTCCAACACAAAATCTTTAAAATTCAACTGGATCTAAAATAAATAGGTGATTTTTAAAGAATGACATACTAGAAAAACCATATAGTTAATAGATACTAAGAAACAGAAATTGTATCAGGAAGCCGTAATAAGGTTTTTGGCACCTTAAGCCAATTTAAACATATGCACCCCTAAAAAAACCCTACCATTTTATTAATAAAAGACCTTTTCTTTGTTTATTACTTAAATAAAAAATCTTCCACTATCGTTTAGGACCCCTTTTTAATGACGCCTGAGGCAATGACGTCACATCCTCACTATAGCTCATAGACTGACTGACTAAAAATCGTTCAATTAGGAAATTATGACCATTAGTCATTGTTTCTTTTAACCAATCATTCAATATACTATAATAAGTCATTTAAAAAAACCAGTCTCACTCTGAGTTTATAATTATAAAATAACAATGTACTAGTGGTCGTCTTTTTAGCACTTACTTTCCATCCTACTTTAACTTCAATTATCCACATACAATCCAAAGGCACTTTATACATTAGAGTTTCATTCTTAACGTCTTCTACATCCGTACTGTTTATATACCCTTGCGATCCATTAATGTATTTTCGGCAAACGGGCAGTTTGGGAATAGATACGCCTGTAATATATTCATCAGTCGGTTGTAAATTACAATAGGAAAATTAGTTCAATAATAGTAATGTATTAATTATAATGCGCAGAAATTCAAGACGACTTTTCGATTGTTTTTAAGGTCGTTAAGTAAATATTTGTCCATAAACAATTTCGATTTATAAAAAGTTAAATTATTCATACTTCTAATTCCGAAACCTTTAATCCGATTTTCCTAAAACAATATTTTTTAATTGTATACATTTTCATATTATTATTTTTGTTGACGGGTAATCTTTTTGATTTTTAAGAACTGACAAAAAAATTTATATGAGATTTACATAATCTTGTACATTTAACATTGGAAGTCGATAACTGTTTTCATTGCATAATACACTTATCTTAAAGTCCTAAATACTATTCTATTGGAGCTGAGAAATAATTTGAGGGTAGTTCTATAAATACAGCCATTTCTCGATAGAAAATATTTTCAGATTTCCCTCTAGAAATAAGTGTCTAAATTGTATTTCTATTATATTTAATTGTACTATAATTTTTTTAATTAAAAACATGTGTGAACTTTCCTTTGTTTGGTTAAAACCGTTTGATTTTAATTTTAAGAAATAGTGTACGGGAATACTCGTATATTAATTTTTATAATATTTAATACACTTAATTATTTACTAATGTATACTTTAATAGATAATAAAAAATTAATAAGGGTCTCTATTAGAGAAAAAAAGAAATAGCTTCGCCTGGAAATTGTGTTAAAAAGTGTTGTTTTGTTCCCGTTTCATTTCCGGTTCTGCGATTTTATTAAGCTGATCTAACATGTATTTTAAACGACATAAAATAATAAATAATAATAAAATAATTCTTTGCTCTCGATCAAAGCAAAAAATTTCATTAATTTTAATTAACATAGAAAAAACACTGCTTAAAATTGAAAAACATTTTATACGTTATTTCTCTTGGTTTATTAATTTGCATTTAAATTAGATAGCAAATAAGATTAGTATAAAAAATCAAAAACTTAATAAACAATAATTAACAACTTTAGTTTTTTTTTTTTATTGTATTTAACAATTTTATTTAATACTTCTTTGTTTAAATGCATAATTAATTAAATTTTTTTTTTTGATATTTACGACTAATACATCATTTTAAAGTCTATAATATTTCTTATAATTAAATTTTGAAAAAAATTATTACTTGTTGGAGGCTTTTTTATAAATCTATACACTGCATAAAATCCTTTGTACTCAGTGTTTTCATCTGAGCGAAATCTAATCCACAGCGACCTGTCCTTTGATACTATCCTAAATAGAATAATTTATTTCATTAGATAAAATGTTACTTTGGTAAAGAATAAAGACTATTTGATACACAGTGTAAACAGAGAGATTTATAATATAAATACAGTTGAGATTTGCTCTAAGCCCTGAAAGTAAATAATTTACAAAACCCGCATTTAAGCACTCTCGTTCGTATAATTTTTTAAAGAGGCGTGAAACATTTTATACGGCTACAGACATTTCTCAAATGACTAGAATAAAATTTTAAATACTCTTCTCCTGCCGTTGCTTAAACTTTCATTATGACGAAAGTGTTAAAAGTAATTTCTCTAATTAATTTTATTATTCTGGATACTATTTTTTATTTTAACTAATCCAATATAATTTTATTTTTATTATATTTACGTAAGTCGATGTAGTTTTCATTTTTATTTTTAAAACTAGAAATCATTAAAATGTTTATAAATAACTTAAAATAAACAATCTACTGACTTGGGCGGAAACTGGTTGCCGCAAAAATAATGAGCAGGTTCTGAATATCCATACGGACCATCTCGAATTTCTAAATGGTCGTGTTTACAACCTTCGCTCGGTTCGATTTCAAATAAGTCTCTGAAATCCAATTCTATAACTTCTCCTTCGTCGGCTATAAACGTACACGACTCATATTAATTTATCTGACGTATAGCAGCGTTTGCTTAAACTCATACCTGTAATAACCCTTATACACTCAGTACTGTTAGGATATGTTTGAGGATAACCGGGAGAGTAAAATTCAAACTCGCCTTCAAATTGATGACACGGAGAAGTCAACGAATTATCAGGAACCATGTCCTGAACTGGCATATCATAGTCAACGATGCTGATAGTTGTTGTGTTGCCACCGATCGTTTCGGGATCTACAACAAATAGAACGTGTAAATACCGACGACAAAAATCAATACAGTCTTCGAAATTTACCTGTACAGAAAACATTTCTTCTTACTAGTGTAATGATCACAAAACCTAGAAAAAAGTTTTAAATAACAGATTAACGTACTAATTCGGTTACTTCTTAATTAAATTATTTTTTAAACCATTTCCAAAGTTGAATTCTAAATATAAAGATAACTTGAAATTATGAAACAAATGGTTTTGCGTGAAATATACGAACGATTCTATCTAAATGTTTGTAAGCAACTTTTATTATCACAACATAAACTGACTGGTCGTAAACAGAAAAACATGCAAGTTCACTTTTTATGTAGACGTTTTGCTTAAGTTTTAAAAGTCATCGTCTTTTAGGGATCGTTATACCAAACCATATTATTGGTAATAAATTATTGGACTAATGGTGAACGTTATGGTTTTAATGAATAAATAAATAATGTAGGTCCATAAAATGTATTTTAGATGTCATTGAATTTGTTAATACTTGTTGGCAAATGTCTGTATTAATTTTTTTTTTACGATTTTCTAAACATATACAAATGTGTCGCTCAACACATTTTGCACATACCACACAAATATTCAATAGGCATGTGTTAAACTCACGGTCAATTAATTTTCATTTATGACTTTACTTTCTTAATACGTTTAATTATAAGCACAGTTTATTACAGTATTGTATGATATGATGTGTATAAATTAAAAATTCACAATTTTTATTTACCTTTAGATTTTATTTATTTATTTTTAATTAAGCGAAATCTAAGTAGATACTTGCAGATCTTTTAGGAGTTACTTTTTTTGCAGATGTGCTGCGTGTTACATAATTTTGTCAATCATTTTTTTACAATAAAAAACTACTTGTGTTATAGAGCTATAAATTATCCCAATGTTTTTACAATTTCATTATACTAATGACTTTAGCCATGTGTTGATAATAAAAAAAACCTTTTTTCATAATTCAGACACTAGTGAAATATCATAATTCAACCACACGCAATGAAAGGGCGTTGTAATTTGTTTAAGAAGTAATTTTATAACCGTATGATGATGTAAAAAAAATATATATGTTTGCTGTCCAAATTATTTTTGTACAGCAAAGTTACGTGTGTAATTGGTGTAATTAATATTCGTTTAAAATATTAAACAACATTTAGAGTTTTTACTAAATGTTATAATGGATATCATTAATCTTGTAATTTTTCAATTTACTACCTAAACTATAGATTATTTATTAAATTTAAATATGCAACAAATAATAGTGTACAATTTTTAATTATTATTATTTTTTAACTTAAAAGTGAAACGATAATTTATTGGATTGGATTGTGTCAACTTTGTTCGCCCTCACAAATCATATAATAAGCACATGTGAATAGTATTTTATTTGGTTATTTATAACAACAGGATCCTCAATTTGTTCCCATTCAACCACAGTACTATACAGTACTGTACAGGTCGCATTAAGATCTATGTGGAGAATCCGGGGTGGTACTTGAATGTGGGCTCCAAAGAAGCCTACCTCCTTAATACGAGCCTGGGTTACTAGAAGGTAAACGCAGGCGAATGACAGGAGTTGGAGGCCTCTCACACTAAAATTGATACTTAATTTAAAAGCATATGTAAACTAAAAAAGCTATTCAGCTGTTTATCAAAGAAGAGCTCCGTAATCAATTAAACGAAATATGTGTTGTAACCAATTTTTAATATAAAATGATTGAATCATAATTTATTTTATTTGTGATTAATATAAAAAAAACCACGGCAGAGTAAAACAAGTAGATTCTGAGCTACGCATCGAAGCTAAAAAAAACGTAAACAAAGTTATAACTTGTTTACTTAATAATAAAAATATCATAGCGTTGCTAAAACTTTAAAGTTGTCTCCCCAATGTAAATTTAAAAAGAGTACTACAAAAAAAGGTTTTTGCACAAAGTCGATGGAATCATAGCCCAAGTCCTAATTATTATTTATTTTACAAGAGAGGACAAATTGAAATCAACAAGAGTTTTTTTTTTATAACTGAGAACTTATTTCGACACGAATTAATGTTTAGACTAAACATATTATTCAAAAATTAGAGCAAAAACCAATAGGGCGGACAGAATTGTATTAAATTTGTTTAGTGTTTGGATTTTTTGTGCAACCGTTCACTGGCGCTTATCATAAACGCAAATGCCACTCTTAACTGATAAAACCTATCTTTTATTCGTATGAAAACCTATTAACTTTTTCGGTTAATAATCGAAAAAATAATATTAATATGAACAGTTGACGAATTGATACATTTTGTTTGTGTTTAGGATTGCTGAATATATTATGTCAAGCGTCGCGTCATACTAGAAATACTAGAGTTGTGACTTGGATTGTGTTTTTCTGTGTGTTATGTATACTTTTGTTGCCGGTAAGTTAATTATGAAAAATGTTCTAAAAGAAAATCCGATGGCAATTTATTATGTGTCGAGTGAGTTACTCTGCGACGGTTCTCCTCTATGTGACATATATATATATATATATAGGTACACTATCCTAGAAATGTTGGCCAGGTCCCGAGGCCCGAACAATGTAATACTCTCGTTCTCTGCTATGACTAATTTTTTTGGCAAACATTTTTGGCATTGATTTATTTATACACGGTTCCNTGCTATGACTAATTTTTTTGGCAAACATTTTTGGCATTGATTTATTTATACACGGTTCCATTACGTTAGGTACTTACACAGCACCGGAAAACGTCGTCTGTCGATCGCCAGTGGCGACATAATTCCAAAGCCGCCGTTGTACCCGCCACTTTCGACAAGCAGATGGCATTTAACGCACCTCTACGTTCGCCGCGTTCGCTGCAAAACGCATCCGAACATGTCACCAGCCGCGCATTCAGCTAATCGTAGAGGACAGCAGCACGCGACAGGCCGTACAAACAACATCAGCGTCGCACACGTTCGCATGCACTGTACGACCGTACCCCGCGGGCTTCGCGTGGAGAAGGGTTTTGCCCGACGCGCTTACGGACGACCGACACACACACACCCGATCACACCGTCCCGGCCCGAACGACGTGCGGCGGTTCACTTCAACTGCATTATTGAAATTATCGCCAATACGATTATCGAGAATACGGCACCCGTCGGTGGCGTCCACCACAAGGCGTTTGGCGGTCGAATCAAACGCGCGTTAATAGTAACAACAATCGGGCCGCGTACATTACAACGGCAAGGCAAAGTCGATCAACCGTCGCGGTCGGCGGACGCCTCTATTTATATAAACGAGCGACACGGACGGAAAAACGGCAGAAACGTACACTCGCGATGGCTATAACATGGTATGTGCGTGCGGCCACCGTAGTGCGCCGGTGGCAGGCTGCTGGGGAGTTTGCGCGCGCGTTATCCTCACAGTAGCCGCAAGGAGCTGGCTCGCCACACCGTTAAATCTCTCTCGTATGTGTGTGTGCGTGTGTGTGGATTTTATGTGATATATGGGTCAAGAGCCCCGACCACTGTACTTGTTATATTATGCATGCTATCTCGGTCTAATTAACGCGCCTAGCGGCCACTGCCGAACCGCGTGTGCACGGCACACGGTGGCCATTTGAACGGACGCGATCGCACTCGTATTTGCTGGCACGCACTTGCCCCCACGGACTAGACCAAGGTCAGATATACCCTCCTGATGTAATGCTCCTCGCCAAATACCATCACTATATCCGTGTGAGATAGCAATCCTTTGGAGATCTGTACGTTGTAATGGTCGGCAAATATGCCAGTTTTAGTACTGCCAAAATATATTTTTTCACATCTAATAGATTTACTTATTGTTTCGCCTAGAAACTTAATCCTCGTGCAAAACTACATAGCTGTGTGAACAATTTGTTCTCAATATTTTGTGATTATCACACTAACCCTTAAAAAAGTATTCTTAATCGCGAAGCAATTAAGTATTTATGGGCATTGATATATATATANATTTGTTCTCAATATTTTGTGATTATCACACTAACCCTTAAAAAAGTATTCTTAATCGCGAAGCAATTAAGTATTTATGGGCATTGATATATATATAGGTGCACGTAGGGGGGTGCTTTGGCTACCTAGCGACCCCTGGGATAACATTAGCACTCCCAAGCATACTTCGCCATTCATTTAAAATGTTGTAAGGAAAAATATAACAATTCTCAATATTATTGTATGTTGAAATACTAAAGTAGTTCATTTATAATTTTATACATAATTGTTCATTTAAAAATAAACAAAAATAAGATTGAGTACATAAATTCTACCGTAGCGAGAACATTTTTTTTGTTCGTTGGAACTTAAGCATCCCTAAATTCAAAACATTATTTAGACTGGTAAATCAAATACTGTCGCTAAATTTCAATCTTATAAAAAATTCTTACCGTAGACAATTTTTCAACTTTTATTCAAAGGACAAGGCTAACATTTTTCTTTCATAACTCTACTGCGTACGTTACTAGATATTTATTAATTCATCTTTTAAAAACTATACCTCAGTAGTCTCGACAAATTATTCAGAAATTTTCCCATTGTGTAAATCTAAACAACTTTCGTCAGAGTCGTAGCGAAGGGTTAGTATAGAGTGTATTGCATTCCCAGCAGGAAAAAATGCCTTTTCAGTCGATTTCAATGGACAATTTTCAAAAGTACACAAGATAGATTGACATTTAAAAGAAACTCATAAATTGTTAAGCAACGTTTCATTCTCCTCTTGTTTTTATACTATTTTAAAAAATCATGATACATAAAGTTTGATACCTTTGTATACACGGAAATATTTATTTAAATCAATACTATTATTTCACAATTTTATACTATATATTTATATAACTATAAATGAAAAAATGTATCCATCATTTTTACGTGTTATTTAACTTCATTTTATGTGATCTGATAGATAATGACGAGAAAATAAATTCAAGTTTTGAAACGTATACAAGACACAGAATCGAGATAGCCGTTTAAAAATAATGTTTCTACGACTAACTTCATGTCATATGAAATCCCATTATCGTTACACCGCCCAAAATCGTAACGCAAACGTCTGCCATTTCCCTAGAGAAATAATAGTCAAGTACAAGACCCATAAACTATTTAGAGTTATAGCACTCATTTTTAGTTATCATATAAAAACTTCCAATAATCATTTTTAAAAAGCTGTAAAATTTTAGTAGTCATAAAAGTGAGCCAAAAAAGTTATTTTTAATTTTCATTTAAAATATTTTCTTGTGTTGTCTCTTTTTTAATTTATTGGATAAAAGTAAAAAAAAAAATGGTATTTTCGAAAGATTTTTCAAAGATATTTACGATTTGAAAGAATTTGAAAAATTGCAATTGAAAAAAAATTTGTGACATTGGATGTCTGCATAAGTATTTAATACTTTATTTAGACATTTATTGGTGGAGATCTATGTGTTTCAATGGAGAAATTAATAAGTAATTAAAGTTTTAACAAAAGTGTATCAAAGTATACAGAAAACTGTAATGAAAGCTAAAATATAAAGTTACATCCAATATGATCAATGTATCAAATGCTAATCGAATATTCGGATATGATATGATAACTTTTATAATTTTACTTCACTCCATATTTTCGTTAAATAATAATTTTTTCATAAAAAAGATTTATTGCAAGAAAAAATTATTTTTAAGGGTAGATTTTAGAGTAACTTTCAAAAGTTAAATGAGAACCTGTTACTTCATATTATTATTATGTTTAGATTAGATTAGAACCATCATTTTTTTTACTATTTAATAGTCAAAATAAATTGTTGACAGGCTGATAACTAGTATTGTATAATTACTTTTTGAGTTGTTATAATTTTTAGTTAAAAGCGGGCGAGGTGCGCAATTTAGAAGAATTCTTATCTTTGCGTTAAGATAAAAATAGAGCGTTGCTTAACACTACCCTGCTTCTCACCATTTCTAAATCATCAAATGTTATTATCTCAAAAAAATAATACAAAACTGGTTATCGACTATTTAATGATTTATAAAAAAAAATTATTTTAATTTAATCATATAACATTTTTTTTATGACAAAACCATTATTTAAAAGGAAAATGTGGGATGATTGGTAAATAACACTGTATAATAAAAGNAGATATGATATGATAACTTTTATAATTTTACTTCACTCCATTTTTTCGTTAAATAATAATTTTTTCATAAAAAAGATTTATTGCAAGAAAAAATTATTTTTAAGGGTAGATTTTAGAGTAACTTTCGAAAGTTAAATGAGAACCTGTTACTTCATACTATTATTATATTTAGATTAGATTAGAACCATCATTTTTTTCACTATTTAATAGTCAAAATAAATTGTTGACAAGTCGATAACTAGTATTGTATAATTACTTTTTGAGTAGTTATAATTTTTAGTTAAGAGCGGTCGAGGTGCGCAACTTAGAAGAATTCTTATCTTTGCGTTAAGATAAAAATAGAGCGTTGCTTAACACTACCCTGCTTCTTACCATTTCTATCTTTACCATTCAAATCTTCAAATGTTATTATCTCAAAAAAATAATACAAAACTGGCTATCGACTATTTAATGATTTATAAAAAAAATTATTTTAATTTAATCATATAACATTTTTTTTATGACAAAACCATTATTTAAAAGGAAAATGTGGGATGATTGGTAAATAACACTGTATAATAAAAGAAAGGATTTTACTTGTAGTTAACCCTATATATAAGAAATGCTAGATTTTAATTTACAGTACATCTTCTATATAATGAACAAAAAGTTCTGTAAATAAAAAATACACGATTTTTTACTTATTATACACTTATATTAAAGAAAAACGATGTGTTAACTTCCAGTACACCTGTATATGAAAATACAGGTGGACTGGTTTGGCTTCTTTTTTTGTAGGGGTTGAATATTCAAAAAAAATGTTTTTTAACATTGTTGAAATATTAATATTTATTAACTAAAACACGCAGTGTTTAAAATACCAAAATATTGATAAGTACCAAGTAATTGATCCATTGCAAGTTCTTAAATCCACAAAAAAAACTGTACTATTTATGTATGTTCTTTACTTATCATACTATTTAAAATAAACAAATAATTCTAAATAAAGTAAAAAATTATTTATTATTATTTAAAAATTCTTCTAATTTTTTAGAAACAAGAGCTAAATTAGCACGTTTATTCGTTTTTTTGGCTATTGATCCTATTAAAGCTTTGATAGCTTGGATTTTCCCTTTTCTATAATCTTTAACTGCTTTTGGTAAATCAAGCATAGCTTCTTTACAAAGTTCAATTATTTCATTTTCATTTGTGATTTGTCTCCAGTTATTTTCCATCACGATCTTAAAATATTTTAATGTGAAATAGTATTTAANCCTTAAAAATTTTTAATGTGAAATAGTATTTAATAGTATAAGAAAAATAATTTTAAAAAATTCACCTTCAATGGGGATAAATTTGTATTCATAATTAATTTTTCAATTACTTTTCGAGCATAATCTAGATTCAGAGTTTCATTTTCTAGTAAATCTATTACTTCTCCAATAGAACTGAATGACAATTTACTAAAATATTAAACAATATTTTTGTTGCATATTTATATCAACATCATGTTTTGTTTTATCAATAAAAATATTTAAAAGATCTAAATATTAAATTTTACCATTGACTGGGTGCAAGATTTACTTTATTTAGTTCAGCTAAAAATTCAATTGTCAGTATATTCCATACTCTTGACGAATTTCTAGAAGGATTTTCATTCATGATTTCAAAAAATAATGATAATAAAACTGGTTGATTCTACACAATTAAATTTTTTTTTCTTAAATGTTTAACTAACTAAAAAATGTATTCAAAATATTAACAGTGATTCCATACCATTAAAATGTATGCTTTTCGTAAATTAAGGCCATGTTTTTCCATTAATCTTATGCGTGTAACTTTAGGTAACTCAGGAATAGATGATTTCAATTTATTTAAATCAATCACATTTAAATTTAAAGGCAATAAATTTGGTTCTGGCATAAATCTATAATCCTAAAAATATTTATTCATAATTTATATTTTATATCCTAAAACTAACATTTATATATGAGTAAATAGGAGGTTAATATTAAAACTATTTATACTTACTTGTAAAACCTCTTTATCTCTCATAGATATTGTTTTGTTAGAAACAGAATCCCATCCTCTGGTTTCATTGATTATTTCTTTCCCTGCTTTTATCAAGTTTATTTGACGTCGAATTTCATAATCAACAGCTAAATGTACAGCTCGAACACTTCCCAAATTTTTAATTTCAGTTCTTATACCCATTTGCTCACCATTTTTGATAGAAACATTGGCATCCACTCGTAATGCACCCTCTAAAATTTAATTTTTAATAAGAATTATATAGACCAAATAATATAATAAAAAGAGAGACATTTTTTAAATAAGTTAATATTTTTATTACCTTCCATTTTACAAGAACACGTTTTTATACATTCAAAAATAAGTAGCAGTTCTTTTACAAGAGAAGATGCCTCTAAACCATTACAAAGATCAGGTTCAAATACTAATTCTATTAAACCTATTCCTGCTCGGTTCAAATCAACTAGTGATCTACAAGATATTTTTGAAAATCAAAAAATAACATGATTTCTTTGTATACAAATAAAGTAAACTAATGAAAAAAAACATTATTTTATAAATTTAATAAGACAATATACAATTTTTATTTTACGTTTGAGAGTATGTATCATTTATTATTCTCCCACTATCTTGTTCTAATTGAATTTGTTTAATAATTGAAGTTTTACTATAAATTTCTTTATTAATATTTTCATCAGCAACATAAAATGAAAGTTCACCATTTACAGCTAATGGTTTATTTTGCTGAGTAATTTGATATCCTGCCTAAAATCAAAAAGATACATTAGAATACATTTTTATAAATAAAAAGTTTTCAATATTTTAAAAGAAATTCCTTAATTTAAAAGTATTAAAACAAAATTCCATGACTAATGTCATAAATTAACACTTTTTAGGGGTATAGAATGAAAAATTAGTATGTAGGAACTATACAGAATGCTTCATTTATCATGAATCATCATTTTTTATGTTCATCCTTTGTACATTTTCAGGGTGTCAATTTTATATTTTCAAATGACAACATGCATAATTAACTAGCTTATTATTAGATAATGAGTAATTAGGAAAATTACTGATCTATAACAACTTTTAAACCAGATTTTAGAAGTTATTAACATTTTATAGTAATGAAAGGAAATGGACACATTTAGAAATTTTGATTCCTGGGGAACTCAATTATGCCAGACCCAATGAACTTTTTTTCTCATCAAAAAAATATTTGATAATTTTTGAATAAATATTTTTAATAGACAATGATCAATTTAAGAAAATAACTGATCGGAAACAAATTTTAAATCAGTATTTCTGAAGTTATTGACATTTTTATACCTATACTGATGGAAGAATACATCTAGGAAATGACTAGTGATAAAAATAACAACACCCACAGCCATCTCCAGGACCACAATTAGGTGGGGTGCGAGTACCATGAGTGGTAAGTTATTAAATGAGACACTAAATATAATATTATAAAGCAATATCTAATAACATCGGCACACAAAAAAAAAAAAGTTGTCTGTACTTTTGACCGGACCCACCTACGGACATGTATTTTGACCCATTGAATTCGAATTTAAAGTCCGTTTGGCCCTGTCACCCTTCAGATTTGAGTAAAATTCAAAAAACCAAAAAATTACGAAAAACTGCAGTCACAGCGATGAATAAAATTTTGTGGACCCTAATCAAGTATGATTTTTATGTATTTCAATTTACTGAAACTGAATCTGAACATTAATTAGCCCGTTGAGTCGTCAACATTTGTAAAATAGCAAAAAAACCCAAAAATTGCAATAAATCATAAAAAATTGAAATTATCGAGAAGAAAACAATTTTTTGGATTCAGATTGAGTATGATTTTTATGTATTTTATTCCACTAAATTTGAATCTGAAGTTTTCTTGTCTTTAATAAAACCAATACCTTCTCAACTTCGCATCAAAGCTAAAAGTGTTGTAAAAAAATAGAGAAAAATATTTTTTATGATCAAAAAAAGGCCAAAAAAATATAATGTCAAAAAAAAAGTACCTGTAAAAGGTACTTTTACCTGTACCTGTAAGAAGAATTGAGTATCCCAGAAGACAAAATCCCTAAATGTATCCATGGACTTCTCCTCTACCTATCACTATAAAATGTTCTTTTCAGTCATTTTATTAATTACATCAATATTTTTTAAATAAATTAATTAATAATCTATGTTAGCAATAGATAATATAAAATTGATACCCTTAAAATATACAAGGTATGAACATCAAAAATACTTGAATTGAGAAAAATATGTACCTAAAAAAAATTCTCTATACTATTATTTTTTAATTAAATAACTGGTCCATGATAAATGAATCACCCAGTAGTCTTGTAAGATATTTTAGTCTGGGTAATAAACCTATTCAAGTGCTTCTACACTCTGTTTTATTTTAAAACACAGTTTATAGTTGGATATTATGAATATATCCATGCCAATTTAAACAATAATACTAATCTATTTTATTACAATTAAAAATATAATAATAATAACTTTGTTTTATAAAAGGATATATATACAAAACCCATTTTTAATAAAAAAACTTGTTGGATAATTTAATAGTATTCTCTGTATCAAGAAGTATCTTAAGAATTATAACAAAATACATTAATCAAAAATAATATACAAAAAATTTAACTTACTTTTGTATAATGTACATAAATGTTTTTTAGTTAAATAATAAAGTATGTTATTTACCGGCATATCTGCATAATAATAATGTTTGCGATCAAATAATGATATTGTATTCAAATTACAATTTAAAGCCATTGCAGTAAGAACAGCTGCTTCAACACATCTTTTATTTAAAACCTGTAATTAAACATAATGAAGTTATTTATTATACCAAGTTTATAATTTAAATACTCAATGCTATTTATCTTACTGGAAGTGTTCCAGGAATTGCAGCATCAAATAATGCTACCTGAGTATTAGCTGAAGAATTAAATTGATTTCCAGCTGCACTAAATAGTTTAGATTTACTTTGTAATTGTGCATGTATTTCTAACCCCACAACACTTATCCAATTGCTATTAATAATAATACTATATTATTTTTCTAAAACTTTTGATTTATGGATATTAAATTGTACACTTAAACATATTTTAGTAATAAAGTTTTAATTAATATAAACATAAAAAAAATTGGATACATACTTATCAGTCACTTTTTTTGAACTTATTCCCCTTAAGCATTTAATATTAAAATTTCCTAGTTTTATCGCATATCTAAGTACTAAATATTTTGTATACATATTAAATCAGCATAATATTAATTTTAAAATAATTCAACCATTACTTAAAAGAATAAAAATTTGAAATTTTTAATTTGATAGTTTTATTACGTAATACTAAATATTTCAATAATGCGTTATTGTTTTGAGAATTAAATAAGAAATAATTTGTTATTTTATGTTAAGTTCAAAATATTCTATGAAACAGGTTCATTAATTAACCCGATCAAATTTGGATTGGAAGTAATTTTCAAATCGTTTAAATCATTAGTTCTATCTGGTAAGCATGCCGGTACAACCTTATCACATTGTGCTAAAAACTTTCATGTTATCAATTATTATCACTAAGCAATCTATTTTTTTTTTGCTTTCCTTTTGTTTTTAAATTTTAATCCATAATCAATTAGTATACTTAAACTTTAATTTTTCTCCTTTTTATATTTTGTTTAATTAATCAAAAATGAATAGTACTAATGTAGAAATGGAAATAGATGATATTCAAGATAATGTTTTAGCTACAAATGTGACTGGCAGTGTCTCTATATCCTTACACCCTCTAGTTATTCTTAATATTTCAGAGCACTGGACTCGTCTTACAGCCCAAGTTGGTAACCCAGTTCCTACTCTTGGTGCTCTAATTGGTAAACAAAAAAATCGGACACTCGAAATTATGAATTCATTTGAGTTATCATATACTCAACTTGAAGATTCGTCTTTAGTGATTGACAGAGAATATTACAATACTAAAGAAGAACAGTTTAAACAAGTGAGATAAAAAAACAAAGCTTTTTACTAAAAACTGATGAAATTAAATTTTTTTTAATATGTTGATTTAAGTAAATGTGGCTTTTAAGTTTTATAAAAAATTATATATTACGTTGCTCACTTTTTAATAGTTAAAATGTTATTTATTTTATTGTTAAATCAAAAATACTTTATTATATGGAAATTGTAATCAAATCTTCATTTTAATTTTTAGGTATTTTGTGATTTGGATTTTTTGGGATGGTATATCACGGGTACAGGTAGTGACAAACCTACTTTACGTGATATAGAATTACATAAACAAATAACTGATATAGCAGAAAGTCCAATATTTTTAAAAATGGATCCTCATGGAGGACATACTGATCTTCCTGTTAAAGTATATGAATCAATTATAGATATAATGAATGGAGAGACTAAAATGTTATTTGTTGAATTGACATATACATTATCAACTGAAGATGCTGAGCGTATTGGAGTTGATCATGTTGCAAGAATGTCAAGCAATGATGCACAAGAAAATAGTTTAGTTGCTGAAACTCTAACTGTTCAATTCAATGCTATTAAAATGTTGCACAGTAGAGTTAAAATGTTACTAGAATACTTGAAAGAAGCTAAGAATTCTGAAAAACCAGTTAATAATGAAATTCTTCGGTAAGTTAAACATTTTGAATTGGTAAATTATTTTAATATTATATAAATATATATATATATTAAACTAGATAATATAGTACAAACAAAGCTGTGTGTATTGTGAAAAACATAAATATATAATTATATGACCAGTTTTGACAAAAGTCATCAACATCATTTGTGTATTAATGAATAAATAATTTAACATTGAAACAATTAAACACAAATGAACAAAAACATAGATACATATAAAAAACAAAAAACTTGTCACATTTTATGTTTTTCATAATACTTGGGGCTTTGTTTGTACTAGATTATTTAGTTTAATATATATATTTACACAATACATTTTTTAATTTTCAATAATAATATTTACATTTTTCTGTAAATTATTTTGAAAATCAAACAATTACTAATTATTATTCTTACTTTTGTATAAATAACTATATCAAAAGTATTTTCTATATGTTGCTACCTAAACATTAAATCCGTATTAAATACAATGAAAAAAAATAAAAAAGGAGGTAACTTGGGGAGTCCAGAGGTAACACTAATTTTTGACACGCCAATTCATTTCAAAATTAAAAAATGATAATATAACTGTTAAAAAATATCTAATTAGTTTATTATATTTTAGCGAATATGTGTCATTATGCCATCGCTTACCTGTGATGGAATCTGGAGAATTTTACAGAGATTTGTATACACATTGTAATGATGTTGCCTTGATAGCATATTTGGGTGTATTAACAAAATGTTGTAATGAAGTTAACAACTATTGCAACAAATTTAATGCACTTTATGATCGACAAGTAGTAGGAAGAAAAGTTAAAGCATTGTTTTTATAAATCAATTTTTTTAAGAAAATGCATGAATCATACTCAATTATTTATCTTTAAAAGTGTTGAATAATTTAATACTAACTTGATTGTAATATTTTTTTTTTCAAAATAAAAAGTCGTAATCATAAAAAGTCAATAGTCATAAAAGTAATTACATATAATTTAAGACTGTCATAAGAGGTTAATAAATGTACAAATAAATATATTTTCATATTGTTTTTATTTTTAACATTAATAAAGCATAGCTCTAAAATTCACAACATTAATAATGCGAGTGTGCATTTGTTTTAATTTTACAAGATATTTTCAACAAACTACACAAATTTACAAACTCAAGTACCAAAAATACTGAGATCGCTCATTGAGAATAATTTTACAATACTTTAAATTTACTAACAATAATATACTTTGGTTGTTCATTACTTTTATTAATATTAATTTATCAATATTATATCTTAATTATTAAAGTGTTAAACATTTTTTTATCTAAAATATTATTTATGATTTAGAAAATTGATCAAAAGAAAAGAATAACCTGATATTTCAGTCATAACCTATTACAGTATAGTTAATATTTTGACTAAATTTCAGTATCACTATAACTGTACAACTTAACTAGGAAACATCTTTCTGTTCATTTTATAACTTATTGATCCTCATCTCAGCATAAAATGAGAACTGATATATTAAGCAAAATTAAATATTTATAAGATTACTATTTTATATCGTATAAAAGCATTATTTAAGTTTGTCAAACACAAACTTTTATTATATTGACAAATCATTTAAAGTACTTGCAATGACATTAATAATTATGCATTGCATCTACTAAACCTAGTATAATTCACAGGACTTATTAAAAAAAAATTATTTCACTAGAATATCATGATAATGTTAACAGCTATTATGTTTTAATTTTATAAAAGAATAAACAACCAAGTACAAAATTGATATTTATTAATATTAATAATATTGCCAAGAATAACTCATAAGCGATGCTTATCTTAATATTAATATTTTAACAAAAGCAATAGTGAAATAATGTATTTTTTTGTTACTTAAAAAAATATTAAATCAAAATTATAACCAATAGTTTTCAAATCTGTAAACATAGAATTTTATTTTCTTATGATTGAACACAAAACATTTCTATGAAATGAATAGATAAATAGTTGAATTTTAAAATATCCTTAAGTAAAAATGTATATACAGTGGAGAGTAAAAATCAAAATTTAATGAAATTTTTAAGTAAATCACATAGAATAAAGATGTCATAATTTTTTTTTTTTTTTGATATGTGATCAACATGCAATTAAGTAATTAAAATTGTTGATGAATTCATTATTATTGAAGTTATTTTCATCTTAATTCAGGGAAGAAAATATTTACTTAGTTTTTTAATTTAAGACATATTTCTACCTTAAAGTTTTTAAAGTTGCAGTGTTTAAAAAAAAAGAAATAATTAATTCTAATAAAAATAATCAAATGGTAGCTTAAGTAATCTTATTTTACAAACATACAATATTAATATTTACTCCTTATACAACCACTTAGTTTTTATAACTTTTTAATATAGGTTATTGATGGTTCGGTTATCAATAGTTGGGGACAATAAAGATTGCATGCTTGTTGAAAGAGCATAGTATTTAATTGTATGAGGTGACTGCAAATGTCTATGTGGTATTACTTCACGTACTTCAGAATTTAATAATTCCTCCTAAATAATAAAAAAATTGTTTAATAAATTATTTCATTAGGATTATAAAATTTTCATTTATACAACCTGAAGCGTGAAAACTTCATCTCAGGATTGAGTCAATTTCATTTTACGTCCAGTTATTGTACCAACTAATGACTTTAAAGTTGAACTAATACCTTTTCTTGATATATTGTTTAAATTTTGGTTATTTATATTATGACTTAAAGATAAATTTGGATTCATCCCTTGTGGATGCGCATCCAAACACTTTTGGTATCGTAACTGAAATATAAATCAATAAAGATATTTTGTCAGTAAGATGATACATTTTATATTGTAGATCAACATACTTTACAAGCTGCTTCTATAGTTTTACATAATGTTGCAGCAGATTGATCACACTCAAATACATGGGCAATAAATAAATCTTGTGTTGTATGCATTATGAAAGCACACTGTTTAACATCTTTTCCTATTCCCAAAAATGATAAGTATCTAACACGGCATTCGACTACTTGGTCTTCTTCATCCTATATACAACCAAATTGAGATAAATATAATTTATTAAAAACAATTTCTAAAAATTACATTTTCTTGTTGAATAGTAATCATTGAAGGGGCAACCGCTACTGTTACTGATTGAGGTAATGTAAATTCTGAGCTTTTCAGTGTTTGTATAGCTTCATTTAAAATATCCATTCCAGATGGTCTAGAAACTTCAGTTGAACCCAAATATGTTGCATGTATTACTTTACGAGGCTCTTCCATTGGCGTGGGGAATGGTTGAACTATAAAATATATAATTCAAATGACAATTCAAATAAACATATTTAATTTTTTTACTTATAGTGTTAGCTGATGTATAACTTCCTCTATAACTTCTACGCTTGCGATATTCTAAAGGAAGATTTGTTGGTCTTATGGGTTGATTCATTTTGGTAACACAACCTACAAATATTAATTTAATTAATTTTTTATATCTTTAGTACCATTTGTTAATGTTATACTTACTTAAATCTGTTGGTCTTGATAGATTTTGCTGCAAACTTCGCTCAATCATAATTTTTTTACAAATGTCTCTTAATGTGTTTGCAATAGTACGAGCAGGCATATCACATCTAAATACATGACACATATGCTGTCTAGTAATTCTATCTCGAGCCACATATGCAAAATCTCTGTAAAGTATCAAAACAATTATGGTACTTGTTATATCTTGCAGGTTAAAAAATTTTTTTTTATTATTTACTATAATTTTAAATTAGCTAAAATTAAAAAAAATTGACTTTATTACCTTTCTCTGGAAATGGAGCATTGTAAAAAATAAAAATAAAAATATATTAATATTATGTAATTTTAAATTAAAACAAATAATTTGTCCTGTTTACTTATTTTTAGTTAATAGGTTTTTATAATTTTATTATAAAAAAACAAAAATAATTACCTGCCATTGTCTCTCCCAACTCCCCAAACTCTGATTGTGTGTATAGGTTGAGTATTCAACACAGTTAGATTTTCAGGATCAATTAATTTCAATGCACCTTCATCTAAATCCATAAATAAATCTTTCCCCTAAATTAAAAAATACATATACAATAGCATTTAGATTAATTAAATTATTTCTAATTTATAAAATGTAACTCTTACATCACCCCAACGACCAACATTATCAATAAAATCGTTTCTTCCAAGTGACAAATCAACAATGCATTTATTAACCGCTTTGCTACTTCTTTCTGGTGTCAAATCCTCTTCACATATTTCAACCCATCCTAGAGAGCGTACTGCAAATCGTATTCCTTTGTTTTCATTTTCAATGCGAGCTGGATAACTTCTCCTCCTTAATATTAGTATATTATTTTTAAAAATTATTTTACAATTCATAATAAATATTTATAATTTTTTAATTTTTTAAATATAATATTCTGTTGAATTTCTTATTACTTGTAGGCCATTTCCTCTTTTTTGTTTTTCTGGTAGCATAAGTTTTCAAGAGCTGAACTTGTTGTACTTCTTGTCACAGAACTCACTAATCCTCCACTACTTTGAAAACTGTTTAACACCTGAAATTTAATTATACAAAATATTTTAGCTCAACACACAATACAAAAAATTTAAGAAAATAATTTATTTTTACATATTCTGCATCTTTCACTAATGGAGTTTTTGGTTCATTTTTTCCACTGTATTCGGGTATTTCTCTTTGAATGGTTCCACTTTTGATATGCCAATAATAAGGCCCATCATCATCTAAAATTATAATTTGTCAGTGTAAAATAAATTTCTTGATAAAAATAAAAGATTTTTACCTTCATGTTTTTCCCATCCAGCTGGTAACTGTTCCTTCAAATGATCTGAAGACTTTGTTTTCATTGGAACTGCATATAAATCATTGTTTAAATCCCCTTGAACATGCTGTATATCATTATTTATACATGATGAATCCTTTTTATTTAACTGTAATGTATTTGGCGGTGATCGCTTTTCATTAATGCTAAAAAATTTATCAATGTTGTAAATAATTTATGTAAATGTTTATATTATTGTTTCATTTATTAGCAAAATGTTAATGGATGTAAATTACTGAATTTAACATAATTTAAATGATAATTTGATTAAACTTACTTCCCTCCCTTATGCTTAATTAGTTCAGATTCTTCTATTAAATCTGGTTTAACATAAGGTTTTTGTCTTTGGTGATTCTGGTTATTTATGTTAGTATAGTCTTGCTTATTATTAGAAGGGGAATTATTCGTAATGTTCATTGTCTTATTCCTGTATAATTGAATATAAATATTAAAATTAAATATTAAACTACATAGGGTGGTTTAAAAAAGATAGATAAAACATTTAAATATTTTCTTTATTTTTTTAACCTTTTTAATATATAACTAAGGAAAATACAAACAAATGAAGTTCTATGGAAATTATTATTTATAAAATTTATTTTAACAAAGTAAGTTTCAATTTGAACTGAACTATCATAAATTAAACCTAAAAAATGTGAATATTTTCCATTTACAGTATCCCAAATAATATACATATATTCCCCCTGTTGTTTTATCTTCAAGATGAGCTTGCAAGAAGATTAATGTTCAAATAACAGTTACCAATATGTTCCACCAGTTGTCATAATATCAACTCCCATCGATCCTAGGTCAAGAGATTTGTATCGTCTTCTGTTTATATTATCCTCATTAATATTGCATACGCTTTCAAAATCGCGACATAATAGATCTGAGTATAATACACATTCTCCATTTATGTTAAATCCAGCAGATGAGTCTGTAGAAGATGTCAAGTTTGAATTTAATGCATCATCAAGTGCTAAATTGCGTGTTCCAGACAAATGATAGTTAGGATTTTCATAACTCGAGCGTCCATTTTCTATGATAAAAAATTAGCATAAAATATGTATGTTAAACAACAACAAAATATAATATTAATTAATTTATGTTTATATTAAAATATTTTTTGTAATATTATTTTTATTAATTGATTTACTATCATAATAAAAAGAATGAGTAAGTGATGTAGCGAAATTTCTACTTTTGCGCGTATTAAATTTTAGACAAACTCGATCAAACCAATAGCCAAGACGATTGCCTTTAAATCTAAAGGGCGCCAAAACATCTATTTTACAAGTAGAAAAAAAAGGCGCTTGTATAATGGTTATCCTAAGACATTATGCCAACTGGCTCTATGACTATATGATATAATATAAAAAGTTATATTTACCCACACAGAACCGAATTTAGGAATTAGGTCATCCAATGCACTTTAATGTGCTACTCATATGACCTTTTTTTTTTGCTCATCACCCGTCGCATTTTAGAGAGAAACATGATAGGTGATTACAGGTCCAAAAGTACATAGGTTCAAATTCCTCTATATTTGTATTTACGGTTTAACCCAAGAACCCCCACTCCCAAAAAACTGCTTTATTATAACCATAGAAAAACTAAATTTATGTTGTTTTTAAAAGTTATTAGTTAACCATTATGATTATTCAATACATGTNTAAAAGTTATTTGTTAACCATTATGATTATTCAATACATGTACTAAGTATTTAGTTAAGTATTTAAAACAATTATAAGGAGATCGTGTCAAATGGAAGTTTAGGATAAGGGTGACCGACCCCAAGTAGTTGGGATTAAGGCGAGAAAGAAGAAGAAGATTTAAAACAATTTTAAGGAATAAGATATATTTTAAGTTTTATAACATTATAATATACAATACTATGGTAGAGTTGTAATGCTAGGAATTTTTAAAGGAAGCAGGAAAAAAAAGTTTTTTGATATGAACCTCAGTGTAAATAAGTAAAAACATTTACGAAACAGAAAGATATTCATTTTTACACAAGATATTACACGAATATTTTTAGCTAAAATAAAAATCCAGTCACTAAAATATATTTCCCATAACTATCCAACTGAAAGAAAATTTTTAGACCAAATACTATTGATTTAAATAAGTTTTGTGGTTATAACCCGTTTACTAATTCTAAAAATATATTTCTATGACAAAATTAAAATCATAATTTATGTAACGCATAATTGACTTACAGGTATATAAAGCTAAACAAACGGTTAACTATTTATGTTGATATTTTTATACTATAGGTCATATTTAAATTCATAAAAGTGACTCATCATTTATCAAAATAAAATTCAATAGGAAACCTTTTCTAAAATGATAGAAATAAAAATATGTACATATATGAAAGCACAATTAATCACTGCGTAAATGTTATAGATGAAGTTCTAAAAAAAGTTATAAGTACTTATATTTTTAAAGATTTATAAATATTTTAGCTTCGATGCGAAGCTTACAAGGTATTAATTTTACTATGATGTGTTTTTTATTTTTATTTATTCATTTTGTTTTTTTTTGTGTCTGTTACCACATTTTCTCAGCTCTCACCGAACCGATTTTTTTTAACGATACGTCAAAAGATCACAAATCGTATCTAGTCGGAGACATTACCCTCAAAAATTGAAAAAAATTCCCTCGTTCCCCGTAAATGGGGGAAACCTCCAAAAAAATTACAAATTTAAAAATCGCTATTTTTCGAAATTTTTTTTTCTTAAAACTGCCATTACTTTTTCAAAAATGAACAANTCGAAATTTTTTTTTCTTAAAACTGCCATTACTTTTTCAAAAATGAACAAATCAATATAATTTTTTTTTTATAGATGCATAATGTCTTTACCTATCATTTGATATATTTTTTTATAAATTTGACCCTTTACCCGCCTACAGGGAAGGATTCAAAATGACAACTTTTTCACAAAAAAATAACTTTTGAAAGTGTTCCGAAAATACTGACACTTTTATATATATCTTAAATTAAAGCTAATGTAATATACTATATTATAGAAAAAAACATTTCGGACTTTATTTTGTCTTCACAAAGAAAATGGCTACCGTATGCTATTTTTGTGTTAAAATTCTCAATTTTATATTTTTAACTTAAAAACTTTTTGAAAAATGTATGGATCAATACAATTTTTTTATGAAAAATAATATTTATATACCACTTTAATTTGACATATTTTTTTTCAAATCGAACCAGTTTCCTTAATACAGGGGGGGTTCAAATCTTTAAAATACATATAGAAAGTAGAACTTTTTTAACTTAACTTTCACAAGTGTTCCGGAAATACTGACACTTTTATATATATCTTAAATTAAAGATTATGTAATATTAACTTATTATATTATGATTATATAATATCTTTATTTTGTCTTCATGGTGAAAACAGACATCAAAGTTAATAAAAAAAAACCCAACCCAGCACAGGGAGTCGCAGCACAGTGGTGACGTGTCATAGTTGGATCAAGTATAATGATATCTGACAGTGATTAAAATCACTATCAAAAATAAACGCTTCGATGCAAATCTTTAGATAGTGTTTAATTTTAAAAAANAACCCAGCACAGGGAGTCGCAGCACAGTGGTGACGTGTCATAGTTGGATCAAGTATAATGATATCTGACAGTGACTAAAATCACTAAAAAAAAAAACGCTTCGATGCAAATCTTTAAATAGTGTAAATTAATTTTTTTTTTTTTTCATAATAAAGTACATTACATTATCTTTAATTTAAGATATATATAAAATTTTAGACTTTCCGGAACACTTTAAAAAGTTAATTTTTTGTGAAAAAATTGTCATTTTAAATCCCTCTCTGTGGGCAATTAAAGGTCAGAATTATAAAAAAAAATATACCAAATGATAGGTAAAGACATTATGCATCTATAAAAAAAAAATTATATTGATTTGTTCATTTTTGAAAAAGTAATGGCAGTTTTAAGAAAAAAAAATTTATAAAAATAGCGATTCTTAAATTTGTAATTTTTTTGGAGGTTTCCCCCATTTACGGGGAACGAGGGAATTTTTTTCAATTTTTAAGGGTAATGTCTTCGACTAGATACGATTTGTGATCTTTTGACGTATCGTTAAAGAAATCGGTTCGGTGAGAGCTGAGAAACTGTGGTAACAGACACAAAAAAAACACATCATAGTAACACCAATACCTTCTCAGCTTTGCATCGAAGCTAAACTACCATTTTTGTGAAAAAATTCTGGTAATGATAGTGATTTAAATCACTGTCAGATATCATTACACTTGATCCAACTATGCCACGTCTCCACTGTGCCGCGACCCCCATGTGCTGGGTTTTTTTTTAAATATAAATATATGTATAAGATAGAATAATATGAAATCGTTCCTTTCCAAAATTACAATTGGAGTACCCTACCTCTAACTCTCAACTAGCAATAAATAAAATATAAACAAAATTTTAGAAAGTACATTTTAATCTATACTATCAATGAAAATAATAAAGCTAAAAATTGGGGAGAGATAAAAAATATTTCAAACTTAATATGATATGTGGCACGTAATGTTCTAAGCTTACCTTTGAATACTAGATTGTCAAGGTCGACCTGAGGGAATGTCCCTCCCCCCATACTTAAAAATATTTCATTGCTTTAAGCGACAAATTTTCAATGTTTGACGTTTCTNTTTAAGCGACAAATTTTCAATGTTTGACGTTTCTACAGAAAAGTCACACAGTTTGTGAAAAATTATTTACATAGTAAAAATAATTTTTTCAAAACTCTTTTCGCGTACTTTTAACATTAGGGCGGCATCCTGTAAATTATTCAATGATATTAAATTAGATGAATGAACTATGCTTGCAAATACAAACGGACAATTCCATTAAACCTTATTACATTATTCGAACGACTACAATTAGTTTTTTTTATATTACTTTAATACTCCTAAATACATTATGTAAAAATATTTACTTATACCGACATATATAAAATGGTGACCAGATTAAGAATTATTTTTAATTATTAAATACTTTTAACGTAGTTTATTAATATATTAACCAAATAGTTCCTTAAAATTTAATCTTTAATATTATAACTTTAAATACCATTAAATATAGAAAACTTACCAAGCAAATTGTCTTCTTCGATAACAGCAGCAGTCATTATAGGATAAAGAGACGAAAGAAGTGTAGCGTATGGACTTCGATTTGGTGATCTAATTATTTCCCCACACAACATACCATAAGTGTTGTAGTTTCAAGTCCGATATCCTGTAAAACACATTGAATTAGTTGTTTGTTAAGTTACTTAATTGTCGTTCAATGTAAATTACATAAATAATCACCACTGACATCATTTTTTTAAGAATATTACGACAAAATACAACCCAATGATGCAACCAAAATTTGTTTACGGGAAGGAGAGAAGAAATGTTTAGTAACATTGTTTTGAGACATTGTTATAAATTCTAAACTGCAGTCTCTCTCTGTGCCTACTCTAAAAAATCAACGCTAATAATAAAATATTTCAGAAACAAGTAGAAATAGAAATTAAAAAGTGTCGGACGACTATAATGTACTAAGAATTTATTAAAGCTTTCAAGGATTGTTGTATAGTTTGTTATTATGAATNTACATAAATAATCACCACTGACATCATTTTTTTAAGAATATTACGACAAAATACAACCCAATGATGCAACCAAAATTTGTTTTCGGGAAGGAGAGAAGAAATGTTTAGATAACATTATTTTAAGACAGTGTTATAATTCTAAACTGCAGTTTCTCTCTGTGCCTACTCTAAAAAATCAACGCTAATAATAAAATATTTCAAAAACAAGTAGAAATAGAAATTAAAAAGTGTCGGACGACTATAAAGTACTAAGAATTTATTAAAGCTTTCAAGGATTGTTGTATAGTTTTTTATTATGAATAATACAGAGTAATCGATTTATTATAAACCACTCGATTATTCACAAAATTAATGCAATATTGAAAAAAAAATGTTGTTTTTTTTTTTGTTATATATATTTCTTGATTTATGAGCCATTAATTACTTTTTAAAATCGTCACTTATAGGGTTGTCGACTATATTTTTTAACGGTACCATATATATTTAACTAGTTTATAAAATAGAAAATGATCTAATTAAGAAAACGACTGGTCGATATCAATTTTTAGACTAGTACTTAAGAAGTTATTCTCATTTTTATACCTAGGCGGGAAGAGAAATTCGTTCGAGANATTTTTAGACTAGTACTTAAGAAGTTATTCTCATTTTTATACCTAGGCGGGAAGAAAAATTCGTTCGAGAAATGTCTAGTGATAAAAATAGCAGCAACCGCACTATATCTCCAGTCTATATTTTAAAACGCTAATTATTTTTGAATAACTGGTCCAAAAGTTATTGTCGACCAGTCATTTTCTTAATTCGATTTCTTGCTATTTGAGAAACTAGTTAAATATGTATATTTCCATTTAAAAAAATTAAATTGACACCTCTATAAAGGGTGATTTAAAGAATTAATTAAAAGCTAATAAATATATATAATTAAAAACACTTTTTTTTTTAATCAATTTTGTATTTATTTTGCGAATAATCGAATGGTTTATGATAAACCGATCACCCTAAACTTATCAAAAGAATTAAGTTAAAAAGTACGAAGAAAAAATTACCGAATGAAAGCTAAGCGTATTTTATGTCCGTAAAAATTTATAACTAGTATTGAGATTACAGTTCATGTAAAAAAAAATGTCTTAGTATCATTTGTTAAAATATACATTTTTCAAAAAATATCGTGTAAATTTATAAATGATAACATTCATTCAATCAGGGCGTGATACCTGTTATACTAAATTCCAAGCAACGCATGGGACGTATTGGTTTTCTTAGTCACTTAACACGGTATATCGATTAGGTTTATGGAATGACCAGTTTTGGCGCCACAAAGGCTATGCTTAACGACTGCACGAAATGCATTAATGTAATTTGGCGACAAGTCAAAACTACATTTCTTATAAAATAATTATTTGAAATATCATACCGAAAATAAATAACTAAACAACAAACCTACATTATTTAACAAACTGTGTCACAATAGAGGAAATTTTGTTGTGTAGTTAAGGTTAAATAAAATTAAATTAACCGTATCTACAGTATCTAATTTGCTGGTAGTATAAAAGAAATTAACAAGAGTATTGTAGTATTCAAAAGTCATAACTTTGTTGTAAATTTTTACTTTAATATTATGTATAAAACTTCGTTTAAAATGATTGAAATTACAGTATTATAAGTACATTAATGTAATATATCAAGAAGAACATGAATAATAAACAAAACATTTGAAAGCCAACTTATACTTATGACAAAAGATATGTATTAATAATGAAAATGTAAGAATCAGAAAATTTCAGATTTAAGATATTTAAACAATCAAGCANAATCAGAAAATTTCGGATTAAAGATATTTAAACAATCAAGTATTCATTGCCGTTTGTATATTGACTGCGTAGTTAATAACTTTTTAAGTATAGAAAATCACAAAATGAATTTGTATAATACTTACAAAATGTCTTGAATTAGTCACTCGAAATAATTATTTTGTCACTTTTCTCAATCACAACATAAATTATGAAAACTTAAAATTGAAATTATATTTCATTATTATTAATGTAATTTTGTTTATTATGATTTAAACTATCTCCGATAGCGTTACACTAAAATGGCAGAATACAGAAAGCGAATGTAACCCAGCTGTTGGTCATTAAAGGTTAGTCAGGCGCAGGACGCAATAACACAAACATGGCTGACTCAAAAGCATATCGATTATTTCACCCCTACGTTAGCACCCCTTGCTCGAACATAAACGTCTTCGGCGTTCAAATGATATTTATTTCTCTTGTCGAAAAAAAAAGTGATTCCAATATATTTTATTAAGCAGTCCATTAGCCAGAATCAAGATTATTAAAAAACCCTTTTATAACAGTTTAAAACGTTTAAAATGTCCCATAAGACCAATGTAAATGTTGAAATTTTTTGTGTTTTAAACACGTCTATAACACTGGTCAATCCGACCAGTAACAACAGTAACAACCCTGTCCAGAATGGTTTTAAAAAAACCATTATTTCAAAATATAAATAGAAAATTATACATTATTTATATTGTATTACAAAACCAACAATTTCAAGTAAAAATAGATAGTACATAAAATGAGCAAATGTCCAACAAGTTTACCTATCGGATAACAATATACATATTAAAAATGAATAAAATATTATTCATTAATAGGGTGAAATTCAACACAAAAAAAAATGTTTGTTAAAAACAAACGATAAATACATTTATACATTTAATGAAAAAAATAATTTCTTTGATTTTTAGTGATACTATTTACATGCTTCATTTTTAGTTTTAAATAATCAGTTAGATTATTAAACTTCAATCTAAAAAATTGGATTAAACAATACTATGAATTTTATTATATTTTCATAATTTCATTTCATCTCATTTAAAATACTAAAAAGAATAAAAACGCGTAGATTTAATATAATTTTTTAAAATAATGCTTAAACAACTTATAATTATATAAATACCAGCAAAGCTTAAAAGAGGGATTTTTTTAGAATTCAGAAACAAAAACGTGTGTTTTTCGCTATTGTTTCTTATACGAGAGATATATAAAACTTAAAAAAAATATTAAGAAAACAAAAATTTTGTGGGGCACCCTCCAAATACAATTTCTGAGTAAAGTTTTGTGAAAAAAAATGTTCTAATTGAAAATTTTATTGTAAATATACATCTGTAAAATAAGATAAATTTAAATTGTACTCACGGTGTTTCATCCAGAATCTTATGTCAAACGACATTTAAAGACGAATGACGACTATTTGGAAAAAGATGGCTCTCTATTGGTTTCCTGATAAGGAAATAACAACCCGGCCACTGCGACTGCACAATTTGATAACGGTATCCTAGTCCTGGATGACCTCGCATGTCCACATGTATCTTCTATACTTGATATTGCAAATCTTTTGTATTGCATTATAATTAAAGTTAAGGACTACAAAACTGCCAAATAAAATTTATACGTATAACTTACCTTCTATTTTGTTTAACTTCATCAAAAAATCGTTTTTTTTTCTAATAAGAAAATTATATGTTTGTGTTAGATGTTTTCAATAAATAAATATTTATTTTCGATGAAAGAAGTGAAGTTATAATTAGCAAATATTAATGCATGATTTGTACGTTGAACGATATTTTGAATATCGTTCAACATCTATGCTATACATTTTTAAGGATAGTTATGATTGAGTAACTCAATGATTATTAAACAAACATCTTCGTAGTTTATTGATAATTAAATAACGAACATTGCAAATTTTTTTAATTGATTCCCTTAAACTACATTGACTAAACAAACGATCTTATATAATGTATAATCATTTGTCGTTTTCACTCATTGGTATGTTATTTGCACTTATTAATGTACAATCATAAACTCTACATTGGCAATTCTTGCCACTAAGTAATAACCTATAGTTTATTCTTTTAATAATTTTATCATTAGGAATATATCGAAGTAAAATTATAAAAGCATTTATTCCCCAAGTATTTAAATCGTAGAATTAATAACATATTATGATTATATTTCTATAATTTAATCATAAGAGTACTAAAACTCAAATACATAAATAAATTGGTCATAGTTTGAATAAATTACAGGATTTTAAACTACAGAAAAATTTCATTAATTTTACATAAATAAGTATAAAGTAGAAAATAATCTTTATATACGAAAGAATTTTGCCGAATTTTAATTGATTTTTTAAAAGAACCCGTTTAATTTCTTTCCATTTTTTAATTGTTATTATGATTACTAATTAAAATAGACAAAACAATAGTAAAAGTAAAATCTTGAACTGTTTTTATATTTCTCTTTCATTTATTTATTATTAAATCGATTTTATAAATTATGTTGATCATAAATTGAACTGAATAATTCTAGAATCTAGATTCAACTGGGTTCCCATTTGCAACAACATAAAAATGTACGCGTAGTAAAGTTGAATCAAAAATTAAAATGAAACAAGTCAGAGACATCACATAGGTAATGTATAACTTATATTATAAGTTTAACAACCGCTAGGTTTATGTCGTAATCAATTAACACTTGGAGTTTATATCCCTCTCAAATGTATTTTGATTACAACTAATAGTGAAAAGGTGTTAATAAAAGTTAATCAGATAAAATGTTTGTAAAAAATTCACTTTCTCTCGATTTTTTCTGGCTTACGGTATCACGTTTCATTTTGTTAAAATAAAAAACCCGTGTTTCTACGGAATATAGAATGCCACGAAGGTGCCTTACTAGTCTGATGCCGGAAATTTATAATAATTAGGTTACATTATAATACAAGTATTTTCAACTACCTGCCGTAGGTTGAATCAACATTTCAATGTCAGTAATATTGTTAAACGCTAGATATCGTTACGTATATCATTTTGTATGATTCCAACCACTGATTTTCAAGAGTCCACGCATATTCTTCTTTTGCTGCCGTTGCTTGGGCCGCTGATTGCCGTTAGCGTCGATCGTTCAGTGTCGGTATTCGTCGTATGCCCGCTCGATCTGTGTACTGCATTAATTTGTCTACGTGCCTACCTTTTGATATAATTCTCATTAATATTTAATAATTTTATCTGTCTAATAACGAGTTATTTAAAGGGTTTTCCGAATTTTCATTTTGATAGTGCTATTTAAATTTGAACATTTTTATTTACTTTAGATAAATGTAGTAGATATCCCACACCTGTGCCATGTCAATAGTTGATAACAAATTGATAATAAGTGTTGGAACGTCAAATTCTTTCTATTATTTATTATTTTTTTAAGTAGAATAAAATCGTTGATTTATATTCATTATTAAGTGCATATTATAGAATCACTCCGATAACCTTTCAACTTTTAGCTTTTTAAACTACAGGATTTTTTATTACAGGTATTGCTAAATTAATTCAATTACTATTTGTATATTTATATATCAAAAGTACAAATATAGTTTATTTTAGGGCGGGATGAAATTATGTAATTTTATCTTTAGATTGACAGTTTTGATTGCTTAATTTTAATATATCATTAATTATAATTTTATTCTAGTTCGCTATAATTATTTATAAACTATTTTACAAATACTGTTTTACATCATACACATTTTTAAATTATTAATGATCTTTATTCATTCATATTACATGATATACATATTTGTTGGTAATATTTTTATGAATATTAAGGTGTACATATTTATTTTTCTAAAACAACTATACATCTTAATAAATTTTGTTATTATAATTCACTTATTTAATTTTTTTAGATCTTATTCAGTTTTACTATACTTAGTTTTGTATAATAAAAGTGTAATAATAATACTCATAATTTGTTTTTAATATTAATCTATATCTATATATTCACATGTATTAACTTATAGCATTATTTCTAATACAAAATTTCAGAAATAAAATCTATAGAAGTAATTGTCCAAAAAAATTTCTCTAATAAAATTAAACATACATTCAAACAATATTTATTAGTAACCTGTATCTTATAAAAAGAAGATATAAAATATTTCATTTACAATATTATTCAAAACCAATAATATCATCTCAATAAGTAATTTTAAAATATTGAATTTAGCATATTTGTTTGCTTTTGCTAATCATATTTACATAATTCATTATTATTAATATTTTTTAAACAATTTCCGTTTTTGGTTTAATTGAGTATATTATTAAATAACTGATAAAATCAATTTTTATTTTTAAGTATAAATTATAAATGTTAAGGAAAGTCTACAGTAAATTTAAAAAATTTAATTAATTAAGTAAAATGAATATAATACAAAATATAATAAACTAATAAAATAAAATTAATACAAAAACAAAATTATTATATCAATATAGCAATATAATATGGAATAATATATATGTAGTATAGATTAAAAGGGACAGTGTGCCTGAGTGGGTAATGCAGCAGTGCTTGACATGCACTACCTCGGGTTCATAACTATGTCACGGGTGGCTTCACTGATGTCTCACAAGTAAGAATATGGTAATTAGAGTCGTCATCCCTCACTTTGATGATGGGCTAATCTCCTATCCTGGAGTATCAATGGTTAAGAAAAACCTTTCCCTTTGGTGGAGATCGCTATAGATCTTTAATGGGCTTGGGAAGCAAAAAAAAAAGTGTAGATTGAACTTGCTGAACAGTTGTATAATGAATAATTAAATTTACAATAAGTTTTAGTAGTAAAAATATAAGTAGATTTATTACCTACTATATAACATATAATTTTGTTTTGAGTATTAAATAATCAATAAAGCCATAAGTGACTATCTGGTAAACGAACAGAAGACTTACAACTTTTGCCAATTGTAGGGTCTCTTCTAAAACTGTTGAATTTTGTATGAGCTGTTAAATGAATTTAATTGAATAATGGTGTCATACCTACTAAGATGATAATTCTACATTTTTTCTCTATCATTAATTGTATTCTTATTATCATTTATTTATTAAATGAACATTATATTGCTTCAGTTTATTTGTCAAAAAAAATGCTTCTTTTTATTTTTTAATTGGGTGTGGCAAGATGGGTCAAGGACTAAATAATTTGTTTAGCAATTAAATATTTCATAAAAACCTTAATTTTATTTTTTTATGATTTTAGATTTCTTTTTTTTATTTTAAAATATTTAGAATAAAATAGATTAATAATTAAAAAAAACCTAGAATAAGATTTTATCATAAAATCTAGTATTGTACTGAATGATTTCTATTTTACACTCTTCAAAATAAACATATATCAGTAATTGGTTATGTTGGTGTTTATAACATTTAATGAAGTTTTATCTCAAAAATTCAGTAAATGATGTCTCATTAACTATTTAATTTTAGTTATCACATTATATCTATTATGTACTTCAACAAAAATAGATTTTATTGTCATATTAATATTTTTCCAATTATATTTTATTAAATTAATTTTTAACTTGACTAATAGAAATTTTATGTAAGTTAAAGAGTAAATATGTTTTATGTAAGTAAAATAATTAAATAAAAGTTTACTAATTCTATAATAAGTTTTTTTGTACAAAAATATATTCACAGGTATCTTATTGAAAAATGTATTTTTTGATAATTGCAATGATAGAAATAATTTTTTATTTATTTAAATATTAAAAATTATTTATATTATTATAATAGTATAAAAAATTGTTTTCATTTAAAGAAATCTATATTTTTATTTAAATTTCTGTTTAATAAAATGTAAAATGATAGACATTACTTAAAAAAAAGTTATTTTAAATATTAATTCTATTGTTTCAGGTAGTCTAAAAAAAAAATGTCACATCATAGTGATGATAATATGTTAATAGCGAGCAGTGATTCATTTTGGGAACCTGGTAACCACAAGCGTACTACAAAACGCATTGAAGATGGTTATCGATTATGTAATGACCTTATTACTTTAATACAAGAAAGGTCAGATATAGAAAAAGCATATGCGAAAAGTTTAAAAGGCTGGTCAAAAAAATGGAATGAAATTATTGAAAAGGGTCCAGAGTATGGCACAACAGAAGCCGCTTGGAAAGGAGTACTAGTTGAAGCTGATAGACTCTGTGATTTACATTTAAGAGTAAAAGATGATTTGTGTAATGATATTATGCAACAAGTCAAAACATGGCAAAAAGATAATTATCATAAGGTGAAACAAAATTTAACTTGTATACCCATCTTTTAATTACTGATATATTAAACGATAATATACATTTTTTAAAAATTGCATAATATAATTTTAGCATGTTATTGATCTCATTAAATTATATCTTGATAAATAGTTATTAATAGTTCTAAAGAAAATTTGTTTTGGTCGCAGACTGTACTGCATATAAAAGAACGGAAAGAAATGGAAGAGTCTTTCAAAAAAGCTCAAAAACCTTGGTGCAAACTACTAACCAAAGTTAATAAAACAAAAAATGATTATCATATTGCTTGCAAAGCAGAAAAATCTGCATCCAATCAAGAACGAAATGCTTCTGCTGATAGTTCTTTATCTATGGATCAAGTAACATAATTTAATTATTTAATTAAAATTATTAGTAATCCAATTAATAAAACCATTTTTTTAGGTTAAAAAAATGCAAGATCGTGTTGCCAAATCTAAAGAAGAAGTTCAAAAAGCTAAAGAAAAGTATGAAATGGCTTTACAAGAATTAAATGCGTACAATCCAAAATATATGGAAGATATGACAGTTGTGTTTGATCGTTGTCAAGAAACAGAAGCTAGACGATTGCAATTTTTCAAGGACACCTTGTTTACTATTCATAAATGCCTGAATATATCTCAAGATCCAGTGTAAGAATTTTTTTTAAAAGAATTATGTTGTTTTTCTATAAAATTAGCCTAAGTTGGCCACTTTCAAATTTATATCTTAAGCTTCAAATAACTCAAAAATTAATGATCTGGACTACTTTAAATAAAAAGTAACCAATTAACCAACTTTTTGAGTTAACAAATACTTAAAAGTTAATTTTGGAAGTCGCCAAATTTATATTTGTCAGCAAACTTAGCTAATTTTACAGTACATTTGTTTCCCATAAAATACAGGGAAGCAATTGTTACAGGAAAACTAGTAGGGTTTTAATATTAAATTTTGACTTGAACTGTATTTTAGTTTACCACAAATTTATGAAGAATTTTATCATACAATTAACAATGCTGATCATGAAAAAGATTTACGATGGTGGTCAAATAATCATGGAGTAAATATGGCTATGAATTGGCCCATGTTTGAGGTATGTTATGTGCAAATCGAAAAATATTAATTTTGAGTTATGACTGCTAGTTACATATGTATTTATATAGTATTTAGCTTGTTTGCTTTGTGTATAGTTTAAAACTGTAGTTATGTCATAAATCTAATTTGTTTGCATGTATGTTTGCTGTATTGTTTATCTATAGGACTATATCGAAGAATTTAGAGATATTTCCAAAGGCAAACTTAAAGAATCTATTCCAGCTGGTACAATTACATTAATTAATCAGCGATCAGTTGGCGAGGATTTGCATGTAAATGTTAGTTGTCCTTATTTTATTTTATCTAACATTTAGAATCGATTAATATTTGAATTTTTTATAATTTTATTAAATTTAGTTGTGTATGTCATTTAAATTAATTTTACTTAGTATTTAGACAGTGTATAATATTTCTTTTTAAATAAGTGTACAATTTTTGTTTTAAAGGATTTACATATGAATAATCCAAAAGTTAACAGTAAAAAAGTGGCAGCTTCTTTACCACGGGCAAATGGAAATAATCATGAAAAACAATCTCCAGATAAAGTTGATTCTATTAAGAATCATCCAATGACGTAGGTTTCTTTAAAATATTTAAGGGAATATTTTTTTTTTTTAAATGATTCCTTATCATGTCATTTAGATTCCTAATGAAGGGGCCAAGCACTGGGCCTTATATACCTTTGTTTATTGGTAAGATGGGTTACGTGTGTTCCTTTAATTCTGATATCATTTAGAATTTTTAATTTCTTTTTGTAAATAATATTCCTTGTAGTATTTTTGTTTTTTTCATAATTTACTTTATATAAATATCACGTATAATTGACTATTGTGTAAAATAAAATACTAATTATAACAATTTTTTATATTAACAGAAATGGGGCATCAAACAGCCAAACACCCGATTCAAACCCATTTGAAGAGGAGGAATGGGATGAAGAAGAAGGAGTTGGTCCCGATGGTGCGCTTGTGGACAATGGTGAACCCGGTGTACCTGTAAGAGCACTTTATGACTACGAAGGTGCTGAAGCTGATGAACTAAGTTTTAAACAAGGTATAAAATCTTTAATTATCTACATATTTGATTTAATCTAAAGATTTTCTTAAATTTCTAAAAAAATTATGTTATAATTAAAAAAATTTAATATGTATAAATTTGTTTAAATTTTATATTCAATGGTATAATGAGTTAACTACTTAAATTGATAATAATATTTTCTTATTTACTGGAGAGTATAGTATGATTTATTTAACCTAAATATGGTTTTAAAATAAATTTGTATAATATAAATATATTTATATAAATCAACAATATTTTATACTTCTAGGAGACTTATTTGAAAAACTAGAAGATGAAGATGAACAAGGTTGGTGTAAAGGTCGTAAAGAAGGTCGAGTAGGGTTGTATCCTGCAAATTATGTAGAAACTATTTCATAATGAAAAAATATTGAAAGAGTTATGGTTTACATTACTATAAACTACAATATAATTTAAGAACTATTATATGTTATGATATGTTCTTTAACAAAACTGTTGTGATCCAAAAAATTTTTTTTTGGAAGAAAGTTTGTTTTGAACTGATATTTGTTATTCATTATAAAAGTAAAATACTGCATATTGCAAGTATATTATTAAAATATTTTAAGAGACTATAGGTCAAGTATTCAAATTTCAAACAGATATGTTATTTATTTATTTATTTATTCAAAGGCTCCCTTACCTAATAAAACAATGAGAATTTTATTTGTAAATATAATAACAAACATTCTTCTTTTATTGATTATGGTAGATTATTTGTTGTTCAATCTAGTTTTGAAATAATAAAATCGCCTTAATAATAAAATGTACTCTGAATATAATTAAAATAATAACTAATTATAAATATATATACATTATATAATAATCATTTAAAAGGAGCATAAATTATAATTTATTCAATAAATTACCTTTATGAAGGTTTTAAAAAACTAATTAAGTAAATTTTATTTTATTCTACAAAAAAAATGTCAGGGATTTTCAATTTATATTATTATGAATTTAATTAAAATTGTTGTTCTATAAGCCAATTTGTTAATTATGTTTCTTTTGTATAATTTATACTAAAAATTTTTGTGCTTTCCATTAAATAAACAATTTAAATCGTAAAAATGTTAATTATAAGTATAATTTATTGCCATTAGATTGTACAAAATAACTGTTAATTATTTATATTTCTTTATAAATATATATATGTTTTGTAAATAAATTATTAATAATGTGAAATAAAATTAGAACTCAATTCCAATATAATTCATGAATGTTTTGTTTTTATTTTAATCAAAAAAAAGATAAAATATTAATTAAAATTTTTTTATCCCATTATTAACGAAATAATTCTGTAATAACCATTTGACCATTTAATTATAACATAATATAAAAATTAATCCAAAATTTACAATATACCAAAAAAGTAAAAAAAAACAAAATATCAATAATTTAACACTAGACCCTTGCTTTAATTGTACATATAAATTAAATAAGTATCATATTATTTTAGATTTTAACATGACCAAAGGTAAAAATATGTCTCTTGCCATGTTTTTAAATAATCGAGGAATGGTCTCATTAAAGGTCCTACCAATGGAACATTGATCACAAACCAATGTAAAAATGCTCTCATGTGTTTTTCAGAATAATTTTCAAAGAATGGAGACCTTACTAAGTATAATGCTAAATTTAAAGTTCGTTTTGATAACACTAAACGTTGCTGAGGAGTTAAATTCTTTGCGGTTTTTAACCTCTGCAAGCTTAAAATAAAAATAAGCATTTGTTACAAAAATATCATAATTTCTTTATAAATTTAAAAATGTAAAAATTTACCTAATATATTCTATAGTCAATGAAATTAGCCATGGTTTCCATGATTTTTGGCCAAAAATGTATAAACTACTCAAATGTACTATTGGTTTCATTATAAACATGGTCTAGAAAAAATAATGAAATTTATTTACAAAGAAAAAATATTTATAATTATGGATTTAAAACTATATTTATGTAATAATTAGCTTATAATTAAGGTTTGCAAAAAAAAATTAAGGTAATATAATTTAAATAATATAAAAATTGAACCTTTTAATAACATCAAAATAGATTTTTCAGTTCTTAAACACCATTCATAAAATTTTCTGCTATTCATTAATCAATTAAATTTTTTAAATAACATAACGTAATGATTTTTTGAAAAAAAAAAATTGATATTAATAAACCATATTTATCAAAAGATTTTTAGCTTAATTTCCCCAAAAAAAGTTTTATACTTAGAAACATCAAATTACCTCAGCTACAAGAAGTCTATCGCTTAAATGCCCACTATTACTATTCATTGGAACTCTTGGTGGAGCTTTCCATGTACGGCGATTAATAGGTGGAGCTGAATAATAATTAAAAATAATTAGAAAAAAACATATATATTGTCAAGGAGTGCATACAACCATTGTCTAATTTTCGAATTGTTCGCCCAGATGGTAATGTTATGACTCCGTTTTCCAAGAAGTCATTTTGATTCATATGTACTGATTTTCTATTTAAAGGCTGTATGGGAGGTGATTCCAATATATGAAGTTTATAGAAATGTAATAAATATAATCTAGCTAGAGTTCTGAAATAAATTTATTAGTAAATAAATATTGATCTAAACTTAATTTAAAATTAATCAATTGACTTTTAAATTCACCATTTTTTTTTTTTTTTTATCTGGTTAAATACGATGAATCAATACATATATAGTTTTATATAAATATTAAATATTGAAAATTTATTAGGTTAATGAATATTCATTTTAATTTTAATAAAAAATCAGTTTATAGTGAAACAGTTTCAGCACTTAAATGTAAATATTTAATACTATTAACCCATTAGAAACTTAATTATCAATTTTACAAAATATTTCTATTTTAATTGAAATTTAAATACAATTCTACCAAAATAAAATTCTGTTGTTGAATGAGCGATTGCTAACATTTTAAGTGGCTAATGAAATCAATTTTTTATGAAATTCCCCAAATAATTGATGTAGAACTATTTTATACTAATTTAAACCAAGTTATCATAATCCAAGTTCAAAGTATAGATCAAGGTATTATTTGAAACCTATTTTACATAAAAGACTGACATGTGTACAATCTTTTTTTCCCCCAAAATTGTCATCGAAAAATAATAATCTAACTATTAAATTATTATTAACGAAATTAACGGAGTATTTTAGTGTATTTTAATCACTCTGTATATAGATAAGTGATAAGATGCGGCGTCTGTTGCATAAAATATCTTACAGATAACACAAAAAGAATCAACTGGTACTTATAAAAAAAAAGTACAAATAATAATATCACTGAATGTACGTAACACTGTAACATGTATCAAAATTGTCAAATGAATCAAGTCAATAAGTACCCATTCGTTAGTTAGACGGTGACCCGCCTTTCAAACACGTTCATATCAAGAGTGACATTGAACCTGAAAACATACTATTTCATACGAATCTTACCTTATTAATATTGATTAAACTTAATGATAACCATAAAAATATTGTAACGAAAGTGAAAACTAGTGAATAAGAATACTTTTTATTGTTATTTTACTATCAATAATTTATTAATATGGCATCATTTTTTAAATTTTATAGACATTACAGTCAAAATTATCCAATAAGAACCAATTTGGTACAAACTGGTGAGATAAAAAATTTACCTAATTTTAGTTTAACTATACATATTATTTTATTACTTTCTATTTAATTCAATAAGGAATTTTATTTGGTTTGGGTGATGTAACCGCTCAAAGTATAGTGGAAAAGCGTAAAATTAATGAAATAGATTGGTTGCGTACAGTACGATATGCATCTATTGGTTGTGCAGTTGGTCCATCATTAAGCATGTGGTATAGATCATTAGACAGATTTGGAACTAAAACTACTATCCCAATAATAGCCAAAAAAATTTTAACTGATCAATTGATTGCATCACCATTAGTAAATGGAAGTATAATGATAATGAGCAGAGTTTTTAGTGGTGATGAATGGCCTCAAATACAACAAAAATTAGAAGACAATTATGTAACAGTTATACTGAACAGTTATATGGTAACATTTATAAAATGTAATAGTATAAATTCTACAATTATTTATTGTTTTCTCTGGTTTTATTTAGCTTTGGCCTGCTGTACAAGCTGTAAATTTCTCAATTGTACCTCAGCAATACAGAGTTTTAACAGTACAAATTGTGTCACTAGCTTGGAATACATACTTATCATATATGAGTGTTGGCAGTGGAGCAAAAACACCTCAAAAAATTTTAAATGAATTATAAAACAAAGTGAATACAAAAATGTTATTTTATTGAAGAATACACTTGATTTTTATTAAATAGTTTATGTTATCTACCAGAAAAAAAAATGAAAAATTTTTTTTTAACAGTTGTTAATAAAATAGTTTATGTATATATTTTTTAAAGTTTGATCAATTTAACCAATACTCAGACTTTTAATTATAATAATTATCCTAGTTTAGTTCTAATAAATGGTTATAATTTTTGATAAAATGATTACTTAGAAAAATGATAAAAGATAAACTCATAACCACGATTTTCAAAGGGAACAAAAAAAATTGTATAACATAAATTCTAGAGGATTTCAATACAGTTCAATTGAAGGAAAATTTAACATTATAACATTCAACACAAAAGGAGTCTACTGAATAAAGAATTGAACTAAATATTTATCACATAGTTAATAATAATCATACACAAAAACAAGAAGTTTCGAATTTTAATATACTATCCCCTTAAAACTCTGCCAGTCGCAAGAGACGACTAATGTTTGTGTTATGTCGGCAGCTGGCGCAAAATTTTGTCAAAAACTATGAGGAGTCCTGAAAAAAAACTTAGGCAGATTGTTCCATCTTGAGTGTATGTAGGGACATAATCTTATCAAGTGGAGGTTTAAGATAAGGGTGGCTGACCCTAAGTAGCTGGAATTAAAGTGAGGAAAAAGAAGATCAAGTTTTAAATATACATTTCCGAATGATCTAATTACCTAAGATAATATTATTTGGTAATCATAAAATGTTATAAGTGAAATTGAAATGGAAATTAAGCTAAAGCATCATACCCCTTTATTTGAGATTTATCTTGCATAAACTGAAAACTAAATTGTATTAAAAGCTACAACTATATTCTCATTATGTGAAATTCTATATAGTTTTATTACAAATTATAACATTTAAAAAAATAATAATTCAAAATATGTATACAATTTTATTTTATATTTTGCAATCATTACTATGCTGGTGAGCACTAGTCAAACAATTAATAATTAGATTGGTGTACCCTAAGAAAATGTTAAATAGAGGATTACCATTGCCTTTAGTAGTAGGGACATAGTATTTACCATTGTTAAAAATTATGTTTCCTAATCCACTCAAAAAATAAGTGACAGTTAGGAGCATCATAAGTGTTCATTTTGTCACACTACCCCTCTATATATACCACAAAGCTTGTAGTCCAAATAAATTCCATAACACAATTAGGCTACACAAAAACCAAAAATTTGACCTAATACAATTAAAATAAAAATTTATTCTATAAAAGGACAACAAAAATTATATACGAAGATGCTATGATTACATAAAATTTATAATTTCAGATTGAAAAATTATAATTAGTTTAACTAATAAAGTATTTACTTATGTGGTAATAAAAAATTAACTAAGAATATTTTTTATCCTAGAGTTATAAACAGTATCATATTAAAATATTATTAAACTATTTTATATTACTATTTAACATAAAATATGAATTAAGTATCAGAAATTCAAGTAAATAAGTTACTTTAATAAGTAATACTAGTCTATTAGCCTGAGCTTGGAATGAACTTAGTTCAATTTTATGATAATAAAATAGTTCAAGAACTAGTTCTTATTTTAAATCAACTTTCCTGGGTTAATTATTAACCATAACTAAATAATGAAAATTTCTTAAGTAGTTTAGCTATCTTAGTTATATAAATAAGTTTTATAAAATATTCAAATAAAATTCACGCAAGTATTTTAATTTTAAGCATATATAGTTATAAGTTGAAATAAAAAAGCTTAATGAACCTTTCAAATTATAAATTTATAATCAACAATTCAATATTAAATTTTAGATAAATAAAAGATTTCAATATAATGTAAATAGTCATTTTTTGAAATCATGAAATTTTTTAATAGAGCTTAAGTTTGTACTCAATTTTAATTTTTATATACATAGTAATTTATTACTTTATTGTTTGTAATAGAACAACAATGATCCACCGTCCTCTGCTACCCCATAATTTGGTTGCAGATACTTCAATAAAGACTTCAATATAATCTATCATGGTCAAAAATCTCTTTATATTTTCATAATGAATATACCCTTTTTTTTCTACACCATTGGAATGAGCTATTTTGTTAGAAGTACTTAGAATAATTTGATCATTAAACATCATCATAAAATTTGACATGGAGTATACAAGTTCAGATAATAAAGTCGAATTGTTGATTCGACCTAAAAAAAAATACATCACAACATTTGAATTAAAAACATTAATAAATATTAATATAAAGTTAAATTAATTACCAGCTAGAAAATATGATATCCATTTTATTGAAGCTTCTAAATCAGTGGTGCGTTCTGGATTTGCACTTACCCAATCCACATAATGTTTGTACAACACTTTAAGTGTTGGGATAGATAAATTTTCCATGTTTAATATAATTTCAACATTTACACATGAAGAAAAAATGTAATAGTAAGTTTTTCATACATACATTTTTTAAGTTAACTTGGCACATTTTGAATTTTCAGTACTGATGTGATAACAATAATAATATAATCATAAATGAATGATAATGATAATAATAATATAGTAATGATAACTCATATTATGAAGGATGACTTACTGACTTAAATCTTGAAAATAGTATTTAGAAAAATAATATAAAATATTTTTTTTCAAATTTTAAACATAATTCAACCAATAAAAAGACTTTATTGATTAATTAATGTATTTGGAATTTTTTTTGACTAAATAGCCACATAATTTAACATTAAGTCATCTCATAAGGGTCAATTTACAGTTACACATAAAATATTATTAAATATATATAATATATTATAATATTAATAAATATTTTTAAATTAAGTACTTAATTATATATATTATATATTATTAATATTAATAAATATTTTTAAATTAAGTACTTAATTGTTCAAAATTTAAGTCAATACTTCAATATCTTTTTCTATTAGTTTTGAATAATGTTTTTGTTGTTATAAAAAGGATAAGTTTTTGATTTTCTATATTTTAACCTGAGGCCTTTTTATAATTAAGTTATACATATTTTTTTATTTGGTAACAGAGATTATTAAAATAATTACACTCTTTTAGTGAAATATTTATATATTTTTTTTATTAGATAGTTTGCCTTAAAAAAAAAATCAGCCGTATATTTTTTGTACACCATTATAATTAACTGATAATATAACGTAGTTATATTCTTTTTGTCTCACTTGTTATATTTTACATGTACTTAGATAAATTATTTAAGCTAAATACGAGTATTATATGATTCCTTTTCAATATTTAAGTTATATTCACAGTAGTTATTACTTAAAAATATACAAAAGAAATTTATACATTAAATTATCCGTTTTAAATAAAAAAAAAAAGATATAATATAATAATGTACTTAATTTTTCCATTTTTAGGACTCAACAATTAATTTTCTCGATTCACACTTATGATCTCAGAAATAATATTGCATGAATAATAAATGTATTAAATTTTAAATCCAAAAAGTAATCTTAAAAGGAGAATACCATTCTATAATTTCTTAAAAGCTTTATATCTAAAAATATGATTGTACATAAAATAGCCTGATGTAACAAAAAACTTAAATACTCCCTCAATTTTTGTTGAGGATAAATAAGCTTACAAGAACAAGACACGTTCGATGACGTTCACAGAAGGATAGATGTTCAACCTCTATAATAAAAATACTTATACAACTCTTAGAGGTACAATTTAAAAAGGATAATAAAAAATTTCCTATGTATTATTCCCCCATATAAAAAATTTTGAATACTGCACTAGACTAGTTTTATGTAACTAAAACCTTAAAAAAAGTTGAAAGTCAATAAAATGAGGTGATTGAGACTTATACATTTTTTGTTACATATTAATTTAATTGTACATTTTAGTTTATCGAGGAAAATTCAGGAGATTTTTATTATTATAGAAAACTTAATTAAACTTATTTAATTTAATGTTGAATTGTTCATTAAAATATTCTCTTGTACAATAATTACTAATTTAAATTACTGTCCCACTCTTAACTATGCATTTTGTACGTATTATATGTGCTACGGAAGTTTATTTCCTACTCGCACATTAATTATTACTATTATTTAGGTGTGTTGTTGCCTATGGATACCTAGTAACCCATCGAAATTCACAAAACGTTCTCATAAGCGCAAGCGCAATTCATATACAATCTGATACAAAGCGTAATGTACATTTTTGACGTTAGACTAGATGAAATCCAAAAAAAATGCGTTGATTACATCATTGAAAATATTCAACTACAGCACTACAATGGAGGTTGAAAAGATATCAATGAATTATCGTCTTGGCATGTATTCATGGATATAAGGCAATTCATATTTGTGTATATAATATCAATAATAACGCAAGTTTTACTCAAAATGCAGTTATGTTTGTGCAATTCAGTAGTACCCGTACAAGAAGGTAGTAAGTAATAATTGAATGTTTTGTAAGATTTAAAAGTCTATATTGAAAATAAAATAATAAATATTTATTTTAAAGATCCATTAGTTGAAAATATGCACAATTACACTAATTTGAACATATTTCTGTGGTCTGGATCAGGAGATAGCGAGGATGAAACTACAACCATCGCCAAGTCTCCTACTACTGCTTACATTGTAAACATCTTTTAAAAATTCGGAATAAATTAAAAATTGCTTATTATTTCAATCGCCTATAGGAAGACCCTGAAGACTGCATAGGTGGACAAGACTGTAACATTCGTCTTACAACAGCTTTCCCTCCGATCACTGATGTGATTGATGTACCTCAAACCACTAACATACCCGATCAGATTTATTGGATTGTTACAGAATTCCAAACAAAGACACCTGTTAACCTAACTTCAAACATAATCGAAGACAGATTATCTGCACTTTACGCTTTAGCGTTTATTAGGTACTCGCTTTAAACATTTTATTTTATTTTTTGTAATAGTTTAACGTACTCTATTTCCATTGATTGAAAATTACCAGAACTTTTCAAAACTTTCTATACATTTATATAAGTGTTATGAAACAAAATAAAAGTCCAAGAAAATACTTCACGCCTTAAACCCCATATAAACATAAACTGCACGCTCACTTTTGAGTTTTAATGTGTTTGGAGCTGTCGCAATCGACACCGGAAATAGTGTCGGTTTCATATATATTGTTGCAAAGCGAATACGTTTGATCAATAAAACAATATTATAAATGATCGACTCTGCAGCTACTATTTATTTGAAACTTGTTATTGGTTTGGTCGTTTTACAGACAACAAGCTAAACACTTAGGGCTCAACTCTGTTACCAACCGGACAAATAGTGGCGACAACGATTCAAATTTCTACCGGGATCGCAGATGGAACGTTCAAGACAACCGAATTCGGGTTGAGGTACGAATCTTACCTGTGTCGAAAGAGTTTGACTTGGTTTATTATGTTAAAGTCAATGGACGGCCAATTACTGCCACTGTTGCAGTGCATGATATGAGTCTTGTCACAGCACGTGAAGTCACCGATCATCTTGGTTACGCTATTAAAATCAAAGCTAGACGTGAGTAAGCATTAACTTTCTAATTAAGTTTTATTACTACAGTAAATATATTTTAATAGCATATTTAGGAGAATCACTTGCGCTAAAAGTTCAAGGAATTGCTTACGGACAGATTTTCCTTTACGCCAGTTTAGTATTTTTAATAGTTTTAGCTTTAATAATTGCAGTACTCATAAATCATCATAAGAAAAACAAACAAAAAAGTACTCGTTCTAATAGAGGGAGGATGGCGTTCAACGTAGATCAGACTCCTCACAAAAATGTTAGTAAAAACCAAACATATTTTTATTTTATGTTAATATGTATAAAAAGTTGTATTGTTCGCAACAAATAAAACTAAATGCAATTTGAAAAAACTATTATTTTTTTAAAACATTTTAGGTAAAAACCGAAGGAACATCAACTGAAGATATAATCAAAGTTCATACACCAGAACCATTACCAAGAAGCAAAAACAAAATTACAGATTCTTTGCTGTCTATGCAAGCAGCTAATAAGTTTCAAAAGTAATTAAAATACTAAATATATTTGTACTCATACAAGGTTTATATTAAAAAGAGAACAAATAATTTTAAAAGTCATCATATATTATTGTTTCTTCTATGAATTCGCTGAAAGTAATTTAATTATCATAACCATTAAAAACAGTTGTTAGATAAATATGGTATCCAGGTGCAGAACGGTCTCGATAATACAATATAACCTTCTGGCCTGATTATACAGCAAAAATAATTTAAATAACAACAGAAGATGTTAATTTGTGTGCAATTATTTACTTTTCTATGAATCGTTTGACTAATAAACATGCATATAGTGACCATAAAAAACGTAAAATGTCATAGTAGTTTTTGAAGCGTAACTATATTAAATCAATATTATATATTGTAGAGATTCCTTGCCAGGTCCACTAACTCAAGTTTTAGAAAAATGCGAAGATAAGAAAAATTTTCAAAAAGTAAGTAGACACGAAAGCATTGAGGGGCAAGACCCTGGTGTAGTCGGACCCATTGTGTGGGACTTGCACTGCAAGAAAATGGATGTTACAAAAATAGGTAACTATAAAAATTGTGAAAGTTTTGAAAAACTTAAGATATAATAATTATGCTTTATTTTTCATAAAGCTAATAATCTGGATAACGTATCCTTGTCAAGTTTTGAAACACTTAATGCAACGGAAAATAATGTGACAAAAATGAGACAGAGATTTCACGACTTATTGGATGACGCCTTTACATTGTTTGGCAGCCGAAATTCGAGTTTGCAAAGTAACGATAGCAGCCATTCGTCTTCTATTAATGATTTAAGATCAAAATCTGCTCCTTTTAGGTAAAATGTGATTTTTGTTTAAAAAATAATAATAATAAATTTAATCTAACTAATTATAGATAAAAAATGTTGTAAACATTTTCCTTATAATTATTATATGACAATCAATAAACTACGCCAAAATTTTCTTGAAAAAATATGTTTTTATAGCGAATTAATAGTTTTAATCTTAACGTTATCTCATTAAAAAAAAAAAATTAAAACCGTTATTCACTAAAATATCAAAGACGGTTTTCTTTTTTTCTATCTTAATTTAAAAGGAATTTATTTATTCTCGGCCAGTTATTAACGGGTCGCCGAATACAAATTTAAACACCTAAAATTGTATGTTCAATTTTGGATCTACAGTACAACCTTTCTGACTTAAGCTTCTCAAAATTAAAATAAGAGATAGGAATCCTTATCAATCAATCCCGCCCAACAATTATATAAAAATGATGGTAGAATTTACAATATCTATGCATGTAAAAAAAAAATTGATATGATGTTCTTGTTCTTAATACAATTTTAGATCTTCCACTACTTCAAGAGATCTTGAAGAAGATAGGCCAAAGACATCAGTCAACCCCGACGATTTGACTCCAGAAGCTAGATGTTGGGCACCGCCACCTTTGGGTGAAGCTTGGATAGGATCAGACCAATCTATATTTGCACCTCGTCCTCTTAGTGCAGGTCCTTTCCATCGACCTACTTTGAACACTGAATTTATCACTACAGATGCTGATCTATCTCCACAAGATCCAGCCGTACCTCTGATCAAAGCTATACGCAAAGAGCTCAACAAATTTCCATCAAATAATTTTGTTGACTAATCACGCGCGATAAGNAAGATCCAGCCGTACCTCTGATCAAAGCTATACGCAAAGAGCTCAACAAATTTCCATCAAATAATTTTGTTGACTAATCACGATAAGTCAGCGCGATACGTCAACGCATTGTCATATCATTCTAATTTATTAAAGTTTTTTTATCTTAAAATTGTTAGTTATAATTTTCTAACAAAACAAATTAATACCATATACAAAATTAATTTTTTGAGAATAAAATTTCAATATTTTACTTAATCAAATCAAAAATATTGTTCTAGAAAAAACTTGAAATTTCAGTAGTTGTCCAAATTGATTTTAACTTTAAAATACATGTTATAGCAACCCATTAATTTTTCTAAAATTATTAACATTGATTACTGAAGTATATACCTTGATTCGTTTTATTACATATTATAAATCTACCAATAGCCAAAAATACTTTTTTTAACTTTAATATTAACGTTTTGACGACTACTTCCATGATTAGTCATATTAAAGTATTATAAAAATTTATTGTGCCAAACCAAACAATCAACTAAAGGTACATTTACAAATTTCTATCTAAGTATTTTACGAAAAAAAACTAATTTAATGTGTTCAAACAAATATAGGCCTAAAATGAATGTAAAATCAATTTTATATATAATGTTTTAGTCTTGCACCCGACTCATAATTGTATAATTAATTAATTTAATCATTTTTTCTATATTTATATCTGTAAATAATAATTTTATTTTTATACGTTTAAGTTCACTTGCAATTAAAAATTAATTATTGTATTAAAATTGTTATTATTTTACGTGTTTTTGTTTTTGGTTATGTAATAAATCCATTTACACTTTTAAAAGTTTTACTATTTCATACACCAAAAACTAAGACAAGAGTACATTTTGGTGACCGAATAATTAAGTATAATTTTCAACAACTTATCATATACAATGTAACGAATTAAATTAGTTAGGCTTGCTGTGAAGGTCACCCCGCATAAAATTTATGCCAAACGAAATGAGTCAAAGAGGTTCTTCTTGTTCACATATATTTGTTCATATAACTGGTATCTATTCTTTTGGCGATAGAAAAATTATGTAGTATTATTTTTCCATTATTCAAAAATAAATAGTACAATTAATGTTCATAATGACGTCCTAAATTTTATAGAATTTAATAATTAGAGGTTCATTCAAAGACAGGCCGTGAAACTGAAGAATGAAAAAAAAATAATGCGATTTGCAGTAGAATTGGGTAATGTGTTACGGTACTGTAAAGAATGAAAACAATATATTTGTTTGTACACACATGATAATAACATTATCTGTGTTAGATTAATGGGTCGTCATTAAGATTTTTGTTGACAGGCCATAATGCAACCGCGAAACAGGATACCCATGGCGATGCCATATTATACCTAGCCGGTGGCAAGTCGACTCGCGCGTACGACCGGATGTGAACGTCGCATTTGTTTTGTCATATCTCAGAGGGGTTTATTGTCAAGTCACCTTACAGTATTTTCGTTCACCAACGTGCACCACACATGTAAGACTTCATATACTTCCTTGTGGATGTACACTGCTGAATTCTGTTACAGGGGAGGTCGTATTATATTTATATTTATCCGTGTACTCCACAGGCAGGAAAGAAGATCCTACAAAGTATATCCGACGTCTTGTTACACAATAATGTACAAACCAACAAGCTTATTACAACATTCGTAAACTAAGTCTCTTTAATAGAGTTGACTAAATTATAAACAAAAATCACGCGAATACATTAGTTAAATAGACACGTAACACGATTACTTCAATGTTGATTACACAGCCTAGTCATTAGATTAGTAGATTGCACCCATAATTATTCAATACAATGAATTTCAATTTAAAAGTAAAGTAAATCCTTAAGCTATAAATTTAATAATTATATCATAATGAAGAAATTTAGACGAGCATTGGCGTAATTTCAACAAAATATTTGGACGATAAGTTATTCAACCCCCTTACACGCACAAATTTTTTCTAGCTTCGATTCGAAGCTGAAAAGTAATAATTTTACCGAGTGTGTTTTTTTTTAAGTCTGCCGCCACTTTTTTCAGCTCTCACCGGACCGATTTCTTTTGACGGTATGTCATAAGATCACAAATCGTAACTATTTGAAAACATTGCCCTTGAAACTTAAAAAAAATTTTCACTTGTATCCTTTAAATGGAGAAGTCACAAAAAAAATTTTTATTTTTAAAATCGGTAAATTTTGACTTTTTTTTCTCAAACCTACCATGACTTTTTGAAAAATTCTTAGGTATTTCTTTCATTTGGTATACATTTTTTAAAAATCGAACCCTCTACCTGACCACATAGGGGATTTAGCAACTTTTGCAAAAAAATTAAACTTTTAAAAATGTTCCGGAAATTCCGACACCTTTAAATATATCTTAAGCTTATGTAATATACTTAATTTTTTTGAAAAGTATTGCAAAAGCTCTCCAATTTTTATACACGTTCGTCATTAAAGTACTGAAATATACAATTACTTTATTATTTTTTGTAATTTCTCCATAAAAATTATAATATTAATTATTGATTATCAATTTCATATTTAATTTAATTACTACAATAAATATTTATTCATGTATTATACTTCTAAATCGAAAAACTACCAATAAGGATAAATTTAGGAAATAGAAGTTTATGTTGTTTTTGAAATAATCCACCAATTTCTTAAAATTTAACACTATATACAGATATCCATCGAAGTGGTTCTTACAACTAGTTGGATATCATCTATACTTGTTCCAACTATGCCACGTCCACACTGTGCTGAAACCTACTGTACTACAGATTTTTTTTATAATCTTATGTATAATATTTCTAAAATTATGCGAGGCTAATTTTATAATTGAAGCACCTCTCAGCCCTCCCGTGACTATGAGAACGAGAGAAAATTTTAATAAGATACAAACACAATCAGTTTTGAATTCAATATTTTTTTCAATAAGGTAACTTATTCATTGATTGATACAGTGGGAAAATATTTTTTTATATTTTCATAAAATTATTATATATAAAAAAAAAAATTGTTTTCAACTCAACATTAAATAGTATTATTATTGTCACGCCGAACCAATCAGGAGCAATAAAAATTCTGGAACTCAACTCTGCAAAAAGTCATAAAAACAATTATTAAGGATACAATTTTCTTTTAAGCATTTTATTTAATATACAATAACGCCTAAATTATGGGCGACATCGTACGATCAAGACACATGTCACAGACTTTTAGGTGATAAATTGTTAGATCTTTAATTTAATTAAAAAACTATTCTGCTCGTAGTTACTCATCGTAATGAATTACTATCAAACCCCCAAATGGTTTTCTTTTGTTTGGTTTAATATAAAAACAACTGAATATAATTGAATTCAACATTATAAATATATATTTAGATAATCACCCTCTTTTATGATAAAAAAACAACAGTACTATTTGATGACTAATAATTAAACATATTATCATATAAGATGGAAAGGTCACTAAGCATAATAGAATTCAAGAGTTACTCGTTCATTACATTGGATAAATTTATACAACACAAAATTAAATTTAGTTTTATTTATAAAAGTAGAGCCTATAAAAATCATTAGTATCAATTTATTATAAATTACAAAACAGCTTTAAAATATTTAAACAATAAGTTAAAACTTAAATTTTAAAATACCTTAAACTAGATCATTTTAAATAATTTTTATACAAAAAAAAAATTGTAACAATTTTTAATTTTTTGATTCAATTTACTACTTTCTACTTTATATCTTAGTTATTTTTTTTTTTTTTAACTATTATTGATTTTTTTCAATTAATTTTATTTGAGCAACCAGCATTAATTTTCTTTAAAAAAATATTTTAATAATTATATTAAAACTAACCTAATTATTTTTTATGGACAAAAATTCTTATAAATAAAATAAAAACACCAAAATATTGGTAATAAAAAATACACAAAAAATATATTGTCAAAAATCATCATTTTTTAAAGTTTTTAACAATTTAAAATCTGACATATTTATGATGTTAAAAATAAAATAATAATTAAAATACAATAATAGTGATTGATAATACATAAATGCCTTTTTAATTTTAGACCTTTAAGAAGTACACACAAGTTTCAAATACTCGTATTGTATAACCCTAATATGAAATCATTGATTTCTTTGTTTAGTTTCAATAATATATAATAAATATTTTTTCAACTTATAAATTTACTTATTTATACTTAAATAACGCATAAATATTTTTTCTCTCCGTAACAAATTATTAGACTAGCATATATATTGCATATATATTTTTTGAAATAGCTACAATGTTGTAGCCATTATCATGAGTATCTGTCGTGATAAATATTTTACAACAGGGAAAACATTTTAAATGTGAAAAAAAAAAACTCAAAATTCAATATCCCAGTTAAAGAAGATAAAGCAAAGTATTTTTTATACTACTACTAGGTTATATAGTATATTAATAATAAATGCGTTGTTTGATAGTTTTATTGACCTCTGTTATCTCGGCAATGCTACTGATTATTACGGTGTTTTTAAGAATATTAGATTAGCAACAACGTCGTTGTTCTATTTTGTTTAATATTATCATAAAGTCCAGTTATACACTATAACTGTCGTCATATATAACCAATTCAACGTAATAGTTAATCAATTTGTCCCGACTATTTACAAAAATGTATAACCTAATGCAAATTTAAAAGTAAAAAAGAAATGTATAAAATAGCCCAATTTTCCCAAACCATAGATTTTTTATAAAGTAGATGAGATGATAATATTAGATAGATTTAGAAGATAATAAAAAAATCTTAAAACATAAAGGTTAGGCGAGAGATCTTTACGACAAGACATGTTTTGGCTCCTCTTCTAAGAGTAAATTCATTTTTGATTTCTCCCATCGTTTTCGGATTTATTACAAATCTTGTGCTGCTGGTCCAATTTTTTATGCTTAAGGTTATCTGAAAAAAAATTCACATTACTTTTTAATTTATTTTAATTATACATTATTTGCAATAATTTACTAAAGTTATATTTTGACTAAAGCTCAAAGTTAAATTTATGTCGCATACTTATAACTATTCTAACACGCTTAAACAAATAAAATAAGACAATATGCTTTTTTTGTTGATTGTATAACATTCAAACCAATGGCGTACTCAAGATATTTCAATGGGAAAGGCTAATTGAAAAAAAATTTAATTTCTGTTTAGTTGATTTTCTACCTATTATTATGGTTTAGCATCCGATTGGAATAGCTTAGCCCTTTAGCTACTTGCATTCGGTACATACATACCATAGTAATATAATTTGTTCATAACGCTAAGTAATGTACCTTAAAATGGTTCAGTATTACACAAAGTATAATTAGTATTAAATTAAATATATTAGCATGACACAAAGAAAAATAAGTTTCCTTTAGATAAGCTATTTGTTAGAGCCAGCAATTATTTAAGAGTGAATACTTCCAGACCCAAGTATAACTATAAAAAACAATCTTTTATAAAAAGATTGTGTGTCGAATAAGTTTCAAGTTGCTTGGATGTACATTTTACTACAATTTGTATACTACGCATTATAATGATTATTGTACACGTCTTTTTTATGTAACCATCGTACTAGGTATGTCAAAGTTTATCGTTGTTATTCTACACTAATCAAAGACATGGCCTCTTATATGCCTTGTAACTAATATGCTTGTAGTACTACTATTTATGTAGTCATACTTCAAAGAAAACAACCAAAAAACCGGCATATTTCTAGGCTAATCTACTTAATCTACCTATATTTTTTGATAAATATTTGAAAAAAATTATAAATAATTCATAAATAGAAAAGTTTTACATAATAATTCAACTGTTAATAATATTAATAACCATTTTTGCCGCTAATACATAGTGTTTACATTTTTATGAAATAAAACTATAAATGACTTATACAATCCTTAACTAAATAGAAAAAATTGTAAAATTCAGATTAATGGCAAGTGGTTTCAGATTTTTTTATGAAGTTATCTATCTTCCTAACCAAATTTAAATTATTGAAATACTACTGTACATAGTGTACTCACATAAATTAACGACACGCTTCAAAAGATGACCAATGACGTGTCTCACGTGTATATAGCAACACATCCGCAGGAAATGCGTGGGATGAAAGTAAAAGACACGGAGAAAAAAATCAACCCGGTTAATGTTCCTCGTCTGCAGCCAGCAGCTGTGCAGTTTCTACTGCAAATTAACCACCTGTTGGCCGGCCGTCGTTTACCATCTGCAATTTTTTTTCTTCCACCGACCGAAATCGCCGAGAAATAAAGTACAGAGAGACGTGTTTACATTTTTCACGTGTTCTTTTGTCCCAGACAACAGGTAGGAACAGAATTTGGCCATTGTGCGAACAAAATCCATTATGGTTTTCCCGTGCTGGATAAAAGATCACATTTTCATGTTTTCTGTGCGTACACGAGGATCCTATACCCAATATTCAATTGAATTTATTATAGGCAAAAAAAAAAAAATGTTAAAATACATTAAAAATACAATGAGGATCGGACATGCTAGTCGAGGAAATCTGGACCAAAAAAAAAAAGAAACAAAATAATATTTAATAATATTAATCCAACTGACGGCAATACAAATAGTATACGACGCACACGATAATACAGATGAATACGTAACCTAGACCTTTAGATGACCTTTTGTCTTTTTAGCACAGCAAACAACACACTGATTGAAAATAACCATAGATTTGTTTGGTGTTAAAATTAATGACCACTCTAATTTTAAGTATTGACCATTATTTCATCAATTTAATAGCCTTTTCGATAGGCGCAATCGTTTTATCGAAATGACGCGACGAAAGTCTCAACAGGTTTACTAAATTAATGATTTGCAAGAAGGTTATCTTATAGTATTCAATATTTATATGTTGTTGATCAGTGGATAAAACCCACAATAAGTCACCACGCGTTTATTGGAATAAATTAAATATCGATTAATGATTAGTCGCCAAAACAGTGTACGAAGTCACAACACGAAAATAAGATTCATCATTTTAGCTTTAGTAACATTATTTTTACACAAAATTGTTAGACACGACTTAAAATTCGTAAAACTCGTTAACGCAACCTTGGCAATAATGTAACTGAATTATCTATAAAATAATCGCTAATGGGTTACTGATACTATGAAAAATATATTTCTTCCACATAAAATTTTTGCCATATTAAATGAAAAATACTATTTTAATACAGTTAATCGAGAACACGTGTTATTATATTTTAACGCAGAAATTTAATGACGAGTCACAATGTAAATTTGTGTAATAAAAAACATAGAAATTTTGTTTAGAAGCTATGACTGGATAAATTTACTTCTGAGTCATATTGTCCTTCTTGCCAGAAAAACAGAATATTCGAGAAACTGTCGGAGTGAAATCTAGAACGGATTAAGTCATTTTTTTTCCTTTTACTGAATAAGCGGAACCAGTTTTTTTCCTTGTATCTTTGTTAAATAATAAGACTGTTCAAAAAGGTTAAAAGCATGAACAATAAAATAAAAATGTCTGTTTATTGAAACTGCCGGTGTATGATATACACTTTTCCCGCCAATTTTATTTACCCGTGCTAAACGTATACAGCATCAACAGCACATAAACACCTCGTACACAGTAGCCATTGCTAGTTTACGACAGTGCAACTATGGCCTTGAAATAAAAATTCCATAATTAATATTAACACAGGTATCTTGGTAACTGTGTGCGTATACGTACTATGTTAAAACTCGTTTGTATAATTTTTTTTCTAACAGGCTCAAATTTAACGACGCGTGCTCATTGCCGATAGACTTCCCGCCAATTTTTTGGCTGTTGCTATCAAACTCCCCGCCGCCGGTTGTCTCCGCCTTACTAGAACCTTGAATTACTTTTAAATTATGGTTTTACGACGTTTGAATTCGTAAACGCGCAACTATTACTTAATACTAAGTAATATGCTGTATGTTGACGTACAGATGCCTACACTATTTCTATAGTCTGGTAGTTGGACTCCGAACACAACAAACCATTGTCAACCATAAAAATGTTCACTAACACTTGTTATGATGATGTGACCAGAATTTTTTGCTCGAATCTTTTACCTACGTTAGCGTTATTTATGTTCTGTACGGTTGTAATTGACTATTACTATTAATAACAAAACCACAACATAGCTCAACAAATAATAAAATCTATGTATCGTTTGGTACATAAATCTGAATTAATGCACAATGCAAAAAAAACTCGGTGTCTATAAATTTTTTAGAATTCAAATAAAAAATAATAATTATTATGATAGAAACTATCAATGGTCAACATCTTATATTCGCTTTACTAAAATGGGCATTGCACAAGTAACAGTGTGCAATGTTTTGGCGGGAAAATATAATGCTCAATTACCTGCATTCATCGCGTTATCAACTACCATTTTTTTATTTGAAATTCGAACGTTACACACCGGCTTATCACTAGACTCATCTAATAGACAAATCATATTTCGAAATAAACAAATACGTGTACCCAATAATTATAAAAATACCCCTTGTTACTAATAAGATTTCTACACTCGAAAACATTTTAACCAGTAACTTATATAAATGATGACTCCTACATTATATCATATCCGAATAATAATAACAAACGACAAATAATAATTAACAGGTGTCAATGTTTCGGTTCCTTGCAATAACACGTGTGATATTAACTACACCACTCAAATAAAACACAAACATTTCTACTTCATATAGTAGTGTCGAAAGGTATTACAAAAAATATTAACTAGGCGATAATAATGTGCAAAGCAATCAAAATTTCGACGCTAACAAGTCGACACAGATTTAACGTATACGTTCCGAGCTAAAATGGCGGGCTTCCTACACCATCATGAATTATGAAATTTATGAAATGGCTAAGTATTCATAAAGTTTTCCGCCCATTTACAATATGACTAATTTTTTTAATAATTTTTAAAATCCAAATATTTTTCCCTTAGACTTGACGCATTTATTCAAAACCCACTGACTCGTATACTTCAACTTACTAGAAAATTAAAATCTTACCTATTATATTATGTGATGGAGATCTGAGAAGTCCGTCGTAAAACGAGCGAAGTTCGGAGGTTGACAGGCCAACAGGTTCGTATCTTGACGCAAACTCTATTCGTTTCCGTTCCATTTCAGTCTCGTTTCGCATTATTACCATAAGATGAGCTCGTTTCTCGGGCGGGCCGAATATGCAACGGGCCGCTGACGCTCGTTGCCCGTTGCGCTGTCGTAGCCAACGTTCGGCTGCTGATTTTTTTGCACCGCCCAAGTTGTTGACGTCTGATAGAACCATTGTTAAGACTCAGAAATACCGAAAAACAACAGTCGATGAAAATATATTAATTATATGAACTTAAAGTTAACCTTAAAGTGCTCAGAAAAATAAACGCGAACGGTCGGCAGATGATGGGACGGGCCGACACGGCTGCAAGTGCATTGGCAATTTTAAAATTTGAAAAATCAATCGTTGTAACGGTCGTACGAGCCCGCGCCACAAGTCGTTTTACAATGGGCGGAGTCAAACGTTACACAGACACAACCACCACCGCTGATGCCACTTACGCTAGAACAACATCAGTGTTACCACCAACCAGTTTGGGCGGGAAAACCGGTTGATTTCTCGTAACTCCCTGTGTAGTCTATGCGTAGCTGAGATATTAGTCAACGTTCATGGGATAATTTATCGTAACTAATTTTCTAGTAACAATATGAATTTATTTGTAATTCAATTATTATGTTCATGATTGACAATTTTTGAACACACGAAAGTGAAAGGACATCATGCATTTACAAATGTTTTTGATGCAACTCGTTTTCAAGGTTACTTAGCGATGACAATACTCGTTTTTCATTATCACTCATCTCTGTCCTTAAAATTTTATTACATACATTGTTATTAGTCATTACTACATAACATATTCATGTAATAGACTTTTTTAACGACTTTTTTTACTAAAAAAAGTAGTAAAAATGATTAGAAAATAAGATATTTATTTGTCTCGTTCAGTAGAGTACAATATTATTGTCTATTGCTATAAAATAAAGAATATACTTGGGGTTTGGATACAGAAAATTGCTATTCTACTCGAGAAGATTCTGAAATTTCATTAGTAGTTAAAGAAATTTTTAGTCGTATTAGTACTTAAGAATATATGAATAATAATGTTAACATGAAGATACAACTTACTTATTTAATTCAGTTAATCTATTTAGATCCATTAATAGGCTTTTTATATTATTGAAACAACTTTTTAATTTTATCTCTAACTTGGGGAAATATGCAAATTTTATAGTTTTCAAAGAATTTACATATGAGTCGTCCAGTTGCAAAAGTGCGTAAGTCCAATTTCAACCAAAATCGATATTTTACCATTTTCTTTTTATTTGTCCATCATTGATTTCTTGTACAAATTCTCAAGTTTCAAAACACGTTATTTCCTACTTAATTTTTAATTTAAAAATTGAATACAGTTGCAAAACAGGGTAAGTCCATTGGTATTGTGATACCAAAAAGTAGTATGTCCCGAGTAATTATAGTACAGCTGCAAAACGGAGTAAATCCCTATCCATTGGTTCCATGTGTTCAAGCACACAATTACAAAAGTTAGTACAGGTACTTTGTTCATCGATTCATTCAACCATTTTTAAGTAAAATTAATATAAAAATGGTTTTAGCTCAGTTTATGGTTTAATATTATATAGAAACATATTGGTTTAAAATACTTGTGATAACATTTTGATACGGTAATCTGGAAGGATTTCATGATAATAATATTACCTCGCGCGTAATAGTAATAGTTTCATTAAATAACTCAATGCAAAACAATAATATAATTTCAATTGCAACACCCGGGAATGCAAGGAAAAAGACTGCAGTTCCATCTCAATGGAAACGAGAAAAGGAAAAACGACGAAGGTAAATCATTGTTTTTATTTTATTTACTACGTTTAATATTTTATGTAATATACAAATAGTAGTATCTAATAATTTCAATTTTAGACATTCATCTACTGGATTTCCAACTCGCCCTAAATGTGAACATAACAATTCAAACCAACGGCAATACCAATGTAAAACCTTAACTATGCAAGACTTGAGACGAGCTCACCAAATGTTCTATGATTTACCGGACAAAATTAAGCAAGACGAAATAATTTTGAGGTTTGTTGTTATCAGTCCCATACACAGAAATCGTTCACGTAAGGATTGTTTCGAAAAACAGGTATCTATAAAATATTTTATGCCAAAACTTAATGCAAATGGTGGCCGTGAAAATGTATTAGTTTGTAAAAAAGCATTTACAGATATTTTTAGAATTTCTAAAAAAAGAGTAGATTTTGTATGTAAAAATTATTTTAAGACTGGCCAATCTCCGAAAGAAAATCGAGGTGGACAAAGACCGGCGCCAAAATATGAAATCCAAAGGGAAATGGTGAAGGCATTCATTTTAAAACTTAAACCTATCGAATCCCATTACTGTCGTGAAAAAAATACCAATCGACAGTATTTGCCCAGTGAAATGTCAATTTCCTCGTTGTATAAAGTTTTCAATGATACTACACCGGGACAAGACGTAAAATATGATTTTTTTCGCTCAATTTTTTGTACGGATTTCAATATTGGGTTCGGGTCTCCAGCAACAGATTGTTGTTCTTTATGTATCTCATTAACACAAAAAATCAAAGTAACTCGATGTTTAATCGAAAAAAGAGAATTAAGCACCAAACTGGAAGTTCATAAAAAAAAGGCTGATGCATTCTATAAATTATTACAAAATGAAAATGATGGAGAGATAACATTTTCATTTGACTGTCAAAAAAACTTAGTGTTACCCAAAGTTCCCGATCAAAGTGCCTACTATTCCAGACAATTGTACTTATATAATTTTACGGTTTGCCAAGGTACATCAAAATCAAAACAATTAAAAGAAAATACGTTTATGTATTTATGGTTAGAAACAGACTATAAAAAAGGATCAAATGAAATCGCATCCTTTGTTTATCATTGTTTAAAAAACACAAATTTAATGAATATACACACTATTCGACTGTTTTCTGATGGATGTGGAGGGCAGAATAAAAATCAAGTTATGTTGTTCATGCTTTCGAAATTCTTACAGGAATGTCCTTCCCACATCAAAAATGTTAATTATTTTTATCCTATAGTGGGTCATTCATTTATTCCACCAGACCGTATATTTGGACGTTTAGAAAAACAATTTAAAAAAATTGCATGCATGACAAGCATTAATGATTACTTAAAAATTTTTGAAACAGTTGGCACAGTCATCAACGTTTCTTCTACAAATGTTTGTAAAGTCTATGATTGGAAGTCATCGTGTCTAAACATTTTAAAACCACCTGCAAATTGGCATTTTAAATTCGCACCTACCAAACGAATACTATTATCAAAATCCAAACAAAATAATGTTCTAGTCAGAGGAGAGCCACATTACTATTTAAATGTTGGCCAGGAAAGAGGCTTGTGTAAACGTGGAAAAACTTTAACATCAATGAAGCTTAACGTATTAAATAAAGGTGTTCAAAATATAAAAACAGCAAAAAAGACTGATGTAGACAATTTACTAAAGAAGCATTTTGGATGTGACTGGAGAAATTTACCAGATCTCGAATACTATAAGACTGTAATTAATATGGATAATGAAGAAAATAACGAACAAGATTATGAATCAGATTTTGGAGATATAAATGAAGAAAACGCAGAATTTGATTAAATAAAAAAATATATTATTTTACTGTTACATTATTATTTTCTAACATAATTAAAAAGATATTTTGATTGTCACTTTTTTATTTTATATTGCAAAAAAAAGTTTAAATGTTATTTTGATTGTTACGTTATTATTTTGTATAGTTAAAAAAAGTGTTTTAAAGCTATAAAACACCAAAATAGAAAATAAATAGTCAAAGAGTTCAAAAATTTAGTTTTTTTATTTCAAAAGTGAGTAAGTCCGTATTTTAGTTTCAAAAAAGAGTATGTCCAAATTAAAACATAAATTATTTAAAAAACTATTTATCCACGATTTCTATAATTCATAAAATAAATATATTATATTATTTTGGAGGTCTTGTTAAAAAAATGTCAGTGATTTATAAAATATTAGAGAAAATATCAGTTTTTCATCGATTGTGAAAACTTTGATTGTTAGGACATACGTCCTTTTGCAACTGGACGACTCATATTTGTGACGTCAGATTTATTTTAATTGTTTAAAAGCGAAAGATCTCAAATTCGCCTATTCCTTTTTATTGTTTAAAATTAACCAATAAATATAATTATTACTTTATTTCAACATTTCATATTATAAAGAACAATAACAGAAATTTAGGTAGGCACAAAGAAATCAAGATGTTCTCCTGTATTTCCCTGTATCTCTATTCAAAGGTTCAATTATAGTTTTTATATTTTAAATTTATATAATTTTTAAAAATTAAAATTAGATACTATTTTTATTTTATACTTTTTTGTTCTAAGTCATCTATGGGGGTTATATATGTTTTTTTTTTAAGAATTTAATATCTACTATTTTGTTACATAAAGCTACAACACAATTAACGTAACTAAAACATATTTTTTTGAGGATCTAAATTCAATTTCTCCCGCTTTATAAAATATATGTAAATATTAATTCATACTTATTTCCTACAGCCATTGGTTTGTAACACCAATATATGGCGATTTACTCAACATGATACTACCAAATTATTAAATTAAAAAAATTATTTATAAAGTATAAATACTGTAAAAAACCATTCTAAATAAGTAACCATATTAAATAAAATAATATTAATTGCTTGGCGAAGAAAAAAAGATGGACTGGATGTCCTTTAGAACCAGCCAAAAAACGAAAATCAAACAAAACAATAAAACATGAATTATTCACTTCCATATACCCATAATTGTGTTCAAGAGAGAGCCGGTTACACAGATTTGACATAAGCAATACATTTTTGACTAAAAAAATCTTGAGGTCTCTTTGGTGGTTTAACTACATAAAGAATCTGAAATATTTAATCTATATCTACATATTTTGTAAAAAAAAATAATCAGCCAAAATAATTTAACAATATTTAGTTGACTTCTTTAATACATTTTGACAACAAGAAAATGATATGATTTATTATTTTATATTACAATAGTATGTCAAATCAGTGGCGTATAGGATGATGAGGATAGATCACTCGCAAAACAAAATTGTTTACATGGTTTTTTTTGTATAAAGGGATAGTGAAAAGTTTTCTTATTTGTACTCTCCCCAAAATGAAACCATAGCAGCGCCACTATGTGCATATGAAGTGTTTATTATGTTCTTTAACATATATGTAAAAGGAGAGTAATGCAAAAATGTTTAGGTTTCATAGATATTCCCGCTAATAATTTTCTACATTTATAAAACATTAATTATTTTTAAGAGCATTAAAAATTATTTTTCACTTATTATAATTTATAAGGTTAATAAAGAGTCGTTTTTTTTTTTTTTGTAGATGGGCAATTTATAAAAACTATTAGGTAATAAAAGCCTCTTATTTAATTTTCTCGAAGAAGGGATACAAATTTCTTATTATATTTAAACTAGGTGAAAAAATTTATTCTGTGCGAAAATTAAAGCAGAATACATTGTCTAGTGATTAACTAAAATAGACGTTTTAATGTTAGAACTTGTTCAAACTTCCTTAAAACTTGAAAACTATATAATTTTGACAAGATTCGGGTGATATAAAAATAAAAGATACGCCACTATGTGTTAGGCAATATTGTTTTATAAATTTTACTATCAATATTATTAAAACAATAAATGTGAATAATGGTATATGAAAGATATATTATTTATTTACAAGCAAATCGGTAGTGGTTCATCTATATTTGTCTTATTTATTAAGAAAAAATTATTATTAATATGTAAACTTTTCGTATTACTCGTGTAAAGAGTAAAGATTCAATATGATAAAAAAAGGATATTAATATTTATAAATATTAAATATTAAATAGGATATTAAATATATAAGGATTCAAACCAATAAAATAATTAAAATGAAACAATGAGATGCCGGGTACTTGATAACCTTTTTTTATACACTGTATAGTTTAAATTGTTTGTTTTAATTAAAAAATGAAAAAAAAACATTAATTTATATAGGTTTGTACCATCTCGGACCACGTGAATACGTAATTAATATTGTTCGATGCATGTAATATTCTTAATAGAACTCTGTATGTATATTTATTACTAAGACTAGTATGTATGTACTTTAAAGGATGTCAAGTTTGTAAAACTTTTTCATAGGATTATGTAGTATTGTTGAATTAATTTTCGTTTTAGAATGGGATAAACGCCCCTAATCTTCTCTAAACTATAACGTAGATAACAACACGTTACTGAGTTTCAAGTCAATTATTAAACATTTATACTGGCTAACGGTTTGTTCAGAATGATAACAAAATTTATAAGTACATATAATTCTTAGTCTTATTTATTACTTATGATCGAGTACTAGAGTAAAAAATATTGGTACGCGCTCAATGATACAATTTGATCAAAATAAATGTTATTACTAACAAAAATCATTTTTTAACTATTAAAAAATTTATGATTTAAACATGAATAATTAGACAAAATAATTTCAACGGGTCCTCATAATCTTAAATAAACATGATTCTATAATTATGAATATTGTAATCCGCTCTGATAGTTTATTGGTATCGGTTATCGTTACAAATATTATAACGATAATAACCAGATTATAAAATGCTTTGGAAAAATATTTCCAGAAAAAGACACAAAACATATCTCAAAAATATTGATCATGGCGTATTTTAGTGATCTACGCATAAAAAAATGTTGTACCACTCCTTTTAAATTGTATCTAAATCCCCGACATTTACGTTATTACGTCTTAGGTTCATATTTTTAAGAGGCCGGTTGAGATATATCTTTTTCTTTATAATAACATTCATTATAATAAGGTCCGACACCACTTAATTTAGAGAAATGTACTAAAATTATAAATATTAAACTTGACATACAGAGCTATTTAAGAAATACTCGATTTTTCGTATGTCTTAATTACATAAACAAGCAATCGAGTCATTCTCGAGACGTATTGGTTCTTAAATGTTCGTGCAATTACTTACAGATTTAACTGTTATCCTTATATTGTGCAATAAACTCAAATAAAAAGACTTTCAATATAATTAATAACGAATATTATGTAACTCAGATGCTTTTTTCATTTTATCATATGACACGAGTCATGCAAACTGAAATTACAGTGTTATAAATTTAATACTTACATCATGACATTTGGATGTTAGGTATAATGTATAATCTAAGTATAATAATATGGTAGGTCCTGTAAGGTAATCCCTTTTTCATTTATTACGCCCAGTTTAGACCACATAATTTATACATTTCGAGTACAATGTTGTATTTAATCCGGCTGCTTCAGACCGAGTAACGTTTAAAGGGTTAAATCAAATCTTTATGTTTTATTTCAAACTACCATTCGTTGGTTATACTGTAAAACAACTGAGTCAAGGTGTAATTTACCGGAAACCACAAAACAATATTGTTAACAATAGCTGATATGGAGCAGCTAAACAGCAGCAAACAAAAGAGTGTATTACAATTTAAAACCATAACGTGTAATATCATTTCAAACATCAATACTGCTATTATTATTATTATTATTAAATTGTTTTGTCCAAATCGACCAGATTGACGCGGTAGTGAGCTGGAGACTACCAAGTCCAGCTGCGGTGTTTTTTTGGGCGTTTACTTCCGACGTGGTCATAAAAAAAAAAAATTGAAAATCATACGGGTATAGCATTATTGTGTTTTACAGGAGAAAAAAAAACAATAATTAATAATTGACCAGATAGTCGTTTGCGGGGGTACAATTCTTTTGTGACACCCCTTCGCAGGCAACTTGAAAGGGTATAAGTTCTCCCCGGGCTCATGGGGTTATTAACTCGTGTACACGTGGCCGGCCGAGAGTGGAACAATAAAACGCTTTGTTAGACGCCCGTGTAGTCATAAAAATAATTATTGGTATTATCGGGATTATGATTGACAGCTGATAGTAACGTTTGCCGATTGCGGTCGCAGGGTACACGGGGAACGCGCACCTGGGCCGATTACACAGGTAATTTGAAAGATCGTAAAGAAGCGGAGGGGAAGGCGACTCGCGTGTGGCGTGTAAAGATACGAAAACAATAGCGAATCTTTTTTTGTTTTTAATCAACGGTGCATGTATTACTGTGATATACACCTGGATTTTCGTATACGGGCGAAAAAATAACATAAACACAAACACTGGACGAGAAGACATCGTGTGTTGGACGCGTTTTGTCTCCCGAGTGTGAACCCCATACGGCACAGCGTTGACATCAAAAAAAATCCGTTTGTATATAAATAATAATATTATGTTAATGGGCTGGAAATTTGAGTAATCGAAAGGGGGATCGTCTTTAATGGAACGAGCGTGTGCCAAAACTCGTCTNGAAAGGGGGATCGTCTTTAATGGAACGAGCGTGTGCCGCCTCCGACGCGCACTGCTGTTTTTGTGTCTCGTGCCTCCAATGAACACGAAATATTTTTTAGACCGGCACGTATCTTGCATAATCATCGCGTTGTCGACATTTGGTCAATTTATTTGGCAAACATCATTATCATGATGATGATACGCGTTCTGGTCAAGTCACGGAAGTAGCGCGCGTCCCGCATAAAAAATATAATAAACAAACAAGCGCCTTTGAGCTGTGAACGGACCACCGCAATTCGTAGCCTATAGCAAAAAATAAATGCTAATCCGTCAAGTCTTGCAGAACGTCGTACTTGTGCTCACGGAAAAATGTGTTGCCATATGGTGCTGTCCGAGTAGTTTGCATATTATAACGACAGAAGGTGCCTATTTTTAAAATCCCATCAGTAACGCTTTAACGACTCGCGTTACACTTCGTACACGCGCGCGTCGAGATGCCTAAAACTTTTATTTTTACCCTCACAGACGCCGAGGAATTTATCACGAGAGCAATTTCGAATAGTGTACACACTATGAACAACTCACGAGACGTACGACACCTCAACAAAATAGAATCGACCGTCTCCGCGTGAAACACGAGCTTGCCGTCATAACCACCTCGTTGAATACAAATGATATCAGCGGTCACATTTTTA